TTTTAAGAGAGATGAGCCATGAGCTAATATCTGTGGCCATCTTCCTCTACTTTATATGGGACGCCGCCACAGCATGGCTTGACAAGCGGTGCATAGGTCCGCCCCCAGGATCCGAACCTGTGAGCCCCAGGCCGCTGAAGCAGAGCGCGCGCACTTAACCACTATGCCACCAGGCTGGCCAGGGAACTGGATATTTTTGATGGCCGTTATTCAGCCTACCACATTGCTATTGGCAAATGCATGCAAACAGTGCCAAGGGTGCAAATTATTTAGCTTGGGGGACAGGTGAAAAATGTTGCCCCGAGGAAGTGGCTGATCCTTCAGCTGAATTCTTAAATAGTGAGTGAGAGTAAGCCGCCCTGTTGTTACTTCCCAGTCCTGTCTCTCTGACTTTACCTTTTACAGTTCCTTTCCTGGCTCCCCTCACCTTCTAGACCCTAAATCAGCTTCAAACACCAGGCCTCCCCCATCGGCCCTTCTTACCCCCTCTTCTCTTCTCCAGATATGTCAGCCTCTCGCATGGGGTTCACCTTCATCTCTGCACAGATGTCTTCAATCTCTGTCTCTAGACCTGGTCACCCCCAGAGCTTCAGTCCTATGTCCACACCTGCTGTTGGGCAGCTCTATCTGCAAGTCCTGCCCATCAACATCATCTCTCCTCACACCTCCAAACCAACATCTCCTTTGGTTTCTATAGTTCTGTCCTTTTGTCTCTGTTCTCTCATTCAGACTTAGTATTTATATATATCCTTCACCGTTCCCTCCAGATCCAGTGTACCAGCAAGTTGTGTGGGTCCTTCCCTAACGTTCTGCCCACGTGACACTTCTTTTCTTCTCCCTGTGCTCCTCTCTACACTGGCCATTGCCTCCACCCAGATGAACCATTTGAATGGTTGGCTAAGGGTTGTCTCTGTTTCTAAATTCTTCTCCCAACTTACCTTATAATCATTGCTCCATTAATTTTCATTTGTGAATCTTGTTTAAAAACTTCTAGAGAAAAAATTCTAAACTCCTTAATGTGACACTTCAAGGTTTTCCAAAGTCCAGGCCCTATATCACTTTCATTTATTCATTCATCATATTAATTAGGCATCTGTGATGTGTTAAGACTGTGCCAGGCAGTGGAAGTATGAGAGTAAGTAAAAATAGACATCTCCACTTTTGTGGAATTTGCCATCTAATTGTAAAGACAGATACGAATAAAATAATAATTATGAATATGTGTGAAATTGTGAAATTGAAACTATAATAAAACAATGGCTCAGATGTATGTAATGTCTGTGATGTGTCTGGACCATTCTAAGCATTTTACGTATATTGTCTCATTTATTCCTTACGATATGTTCTTTACTGTTATCTCCACTTTACAGATGAGAAAACAGGCATGGAGAGTTTGTTACTTGCCCAAATTCATACAACCAGAAAGGATTTAAGCTGGGTAGCCTGGTTCTAGATTATGTGCATTTAACCACGTTGTATTTCCATAAAGAAGAGGTTCCTGCTGCTTTGAGAACCATTAATTGGAAGGGAGTGGGTGTATGAATGGGGGTAGGGATGGGGAATTTGAGCTAGTCAGGAAAGGCTTCCTAAGGAAGGTCAGCTAAACTGGAATAGGAAAGATGAGTTGGGGTTAATTGTGCAAGAGGAAAGGAAAGGTGTTCCCTGCAGGAAAGGTCGTGCATAAAGACCCAATTGTGGGGAGAGTAGGGAGCTAATGGGATCTGAAATGGGACCAGTGTGCTGGAGCAGAGAGAGCAAGGTGGGGGGAGGAGCAAGGCCTGGGATTAGGTTGAGATGGGATTAGGCTGGGGAGGCAGGTAGGTGCCAAACCACCTAGGACCCTTAGACTGTACTATGAATGTTCTTCCTGCTCCTAAATGTAGTGGGAAGCCATTGGAGTGTTAAGCAAGGGATAAGAGAAAAATGTGTCAAAAGTTTCTGGATTGTGTCCTGAATTGACGTGGTCTCATTCTCTTGAATAGGAACCCTAGAAAGGGACTAGATTCGGGAATAAGATCACGGCCTCTGTTTTGGACATGTTGAGTTTGAAGCACCTTGTGAGAAATACTAATGAGATATCAAGGAAAATGTCAAATATATGGACCTGGAGTTCATAGGAGAAGTCTGGGCTGGATATTTAATTTTGAGTGAGCAGATGGTGCCATATTGAAGGAAATTGTTCCTTCATATATAAAGAGTGGAAGCGCCAGGCTTTGTTTCGTTGACAGTTTGCAGCTGAGAGATGAACTTGCTGAAGAACTTCTCTCCTGCTAAAGAGAACTTTAAGCCCTATTTGTGAGGTCTGTGTTAATCTCTTGCAGCAGATTTAAATCTGGGGTGATAATCAGCCAGAGTGGGAGGAATTAATTTTAGATTTCTTCTCTACTTTCTACTTTTTACAACAGAATACTATTGGCTAATCATTTATCCTTCAATGATAGGAACTAGTTTTTGGAAATTGTGGTTTGAGTCTAATAAAAAGGAGACTGGTGGAAAAAAAAGGCATGTAAGCAGGCTTCTTAAGACTGCAGTGTACCCTCAGTGTTCCGTACAAAATTGACTGTATTTGCTAGCTACTGCTAGCACATAACAAAACATGGGGGCTTACGACAACAATTTATTATCTTTACAGCTTCTTTGGGTCAGGGATTTAGGAGCAGGAGCTGAGAAGCTCAGGCTTAGGATCTCTCATGTGCTCTCAGTCAAGAGATGTCATCTTGACATCTCAGTCAAGATATTGGCCAGGACCACAGTCATCCGAAGGTTTGACTGGGGTTGAGGGATCCACTTCCAAGGTTCAAGCTCATTCACATGACTGTAAGCTGTTTCTTACAGTTGTGGGCAGCAATCCATGGTTTCTCCCCACAAGAGCTTCTCCCGGGGCTGCTTGAGTATCCTCATGGCATGACTGGAGGCTTCCCTGAGACTGGTAATCCAAAAGTGAAAGAGGCAGGTGGGAGCTATCCTTTTTGTGAGCTAGCCTTAGCAGTCGTGAGTGCTTCATTCCAAGCACATCACTAAGTTTGGCTCACCTCAAGGTTGGAGGAGGGAACTAGACTCCACCTTTTGAAGAGAGGGGTGTTTAAGAATCTGTGGGCATTTTTTTTTTTTGATAAGGAAGATTAGCCCTGAGCTAACATCTGTTGCCAATCCTTCTCTCTCTCTCTTTTTTTTTTTTTTTTGCTGAGGAAGATTGGCCCGGGGCTAACATCCGTGTCCATCTTCCTCTACTTTATGTGGGACGCCTGCCATAGCATGGCTTGATAAGTGGTGCATAGGTCCACGCCCGGGATCTGAACCTGCAAACTTAACCAGTACGCCACCAGGCTGGCCCCTGTGGGCATATTTTAAAGCCACCACGTGGATGTTTGGAATCTGAGTTGTGGATGGAGCCTCCCCTCTCACCCTGTGTAGGAATTAATTTCTGGTATAACATTCCTGACAGATGGTCGGTCAGCCTCTGCTTGGCACTCCCAACTATGAGGAGTTCACTACGTTGTGAGTCAGTGAATTCCATTTATGTTCAGGTTTAATTGTTCGAAGCTTGTTCTATTCATGAAATTGAACACTCTATTGCTGAATACTTAATTATTGATGCTAATTCTGCTGCTCTAAGATGGCACTTTTATGTGACAGCTTTTCCATTATTTGCAATGATGATAATCTTCTTGACTTCTCTTTTCTTCGGACAAAATACTGTCAGTTCTACTCCGAATTTCCTCTCATGTTTTGATTTCAGGTTTTTTTTCACATTCTGGTTACCTTCCTATAAAAACATTTCAATTCAGCTCATTTTTCCACAACTGAATAGCAACTACTAGTTCTGTACCCCAAGCTAAGTCTCACAGAACACAACAAAGCAGTCTTCGCTTTGCACAATAGCGCGAGACAGAAAAAAGGACCATAGAAGCTGAAATCATGTAAAGTAATCTTAAGAAGCAATGGGAAAATTACAATTACTCTGAGACCTTTAAAAATTTCTGTTAAAACATTAAAAACTCTTTCATATTTAAATGCGTGGGGAAAGGAAAAAAAAAGTAGTGAAACTAGTGTTCATTTAGTATGCTGGAATTTAAAACATTAGAAACATAGAGAAAGTGTTTTATTTCTTTGTTTAAAAAAAACCTGAGGGGCTGGCCGGGTGGCGTAGCGGTTAAGTGCGCGCGCTTCGCTTCGGCGGCCCCGGGTTCTCATGTTCAGATCTCGGGTGCGCACCAATGCACCACTTGTCGAGCCATGCTGTGGCGGCGTCCCATATAAAGTAGAGGAAGGTGGGCACGGATGTTAGCCCAGGGCCAGTCTTTCTCAGAAAAAAAGAGGAGGATTGGCATCGGATGTTAGCTCAGGGCTAATCTTCCTCACAAAAATAAAAATAAAAAAAAACTTGAGTCATTTGAACAGTGCTTGCCTTTTTCTTCTCATAAAACTGTTAATACAGAATGAGCATCTTTTGTTTGCCTTGGCAAATTGTCATCCTGTTTTATAAATTTGGACCAGCTTTCAACATTTTATCATTCAAGTTCTCAATGTCGTGAAATTTCTCTGAGATATTGCTCCAAGTATTCCTTTAATGTGAAGTTTTTTGCGGGTGTCATTTCTTCTGAGACGTCTTCAATCACTATCCTCATTTATGTCCATAAGTTCACCTCCACTAAGTTCCTCTGGCCGTAGATCTAGAGTTGCTTGAATGGTGGCGATGTCAACATTCCCAATGATCAGCTGTTTCTTCTACAACTCCATTAATGTTAGATTTAAAGTTCACTTTTTGTGCTATCACTTTTCATTTGTTTGCTGCACTTTCATCTTTGTTAAGCAATTCACTCTTTCGATTATCCATTTTTTTAAAATGCCACATGAGTTTGTTGCTGGGAGACAAGGAGGCAACACAACTACATGCTTTGCTGTCTGTGTGTGAACTGATGCACAGTGAGCAATCTTCATAGGCTTTGGAAGACGTGACATGATTGGTCACTGATCATGATGCACATCTGTCACATATGTAGTGACTTATGGACTGAAGGTCTAGAAGCCAAGTTTGTACTTTATGCAGCCACTCAAAGTTAATAGACCATGGTAACTGGTATTTGAACCACATTGTTGGGGGACTGGTGTTATTTGCCTAAACCATGGTGTCTGAAATTTCTGTATATCAGAACAATGCAAAGCAAGGAATGCCTGTATTTCTACAAATTTGATCTTAGTTAGAATCTGTTTTTATGGCCAGCTGTTCCACACTGTTTATTTTGAGCTCATAGTCCTTGCTCTTACCAGGTCTCATACATCTTTACCTTGTGCATTTAATTTTTCTTAAATGTAAATGTTGGATTTTACTTATATTCCTGTTAAGCTTCGTATTATTAACCTTAGCCTGTAGATGTCTTTTTAAAACTTGATTTTGCTATATAGGGAACAAGCTGTCCCTTCCAAATTGTTATTCTTTTCACATCTAAGCTGTGAATAAGAACATGGCTGGGGCAGGGCTCAGTGATATGTCTCTAAGCTCTCCAGCCATGTTTCCCTCATCCTATTAATCAATCCTTTGAGTAGGAATATACAACTAGATGTGGATTTCTCTGACTCTGCTGTCATCTAGCTTTCCTTTTTTGAGTTTGCCTGACAAAGCTAACTGTCTGAATCAAAGCACACCGTGTCAGCAGTTGTCTCCTGAAATACCACTCTGCTTATCTCAAAAATTAGCACTACTGATAATACCTCATGTTTATGGAGAACTTTTATAGTTCATGGAGCGTTCCTTTTAAAATATTTTTGTTTATAGGGTTGAAAGGAGATGTGGCATTTATTATTACCATATTTTCAAAAATGGTAAATCAGAAAGGTTAAGGGATTTGCGTCTGTTCACAAAGCTAGTAAATAGCAGAATCTTGATTCTTCAGTAAGTTTAGTGTATTTTTCACCACCTCAAACTTCTTAGATGGAGTGCCTACTGAAAACAAAAAAAGAAGGTTTCTGTAGTGTTTTTCCTTGTTGATTTATTAGACTCTCCTTATAATCCTGCCTCCCACAGGGTCTTGTATTAGTTTGCTAGGCTGCTGTAACAAAGCCCCACAGACTAGGTAGCTTAAACAACAGAAACTTATTGTCTCCCAGTTCTGGAGGCTGGAAGTCCAAGATCAAGGTGTCAGCAGGGTTGGTTCTTTCTGAGGGCCGTGAGGGAAGGATCTGTTCCAGGCCTCTCTTCTTGTCTTGTTGATGGCTGTCTTCTCCCTATATCTCTTTGTATTGTCTTCCCTCTATGCATGTCTGTGTGTCCACATTTCCCCTTTTTATATGGACACCAGTCATATTGAATTAGAGCCTACCCTAATGACCTCATTTTCACTTGATTACTTCTGTAAAGACCTTATCTCCAAATACAATCACATTTTGAGGTACTCGGGGTTTAGGACTATAATATATTTTGGGGAGATTTTGGAGAATTTCGGGGAGACACAATTCAACCTATACCAGATCTCTAAGGCAGATTTCATGTTTTTAAAAAATGACCAATGGAGTAGGCTTCTGTAGCCAGTACTTCTGTGCATGCCTGCATTTTCTTATCAATATCTGTATATCTGATGTAGTCTGTTGAGATAAATTTTGTGGGCAGTTGGCATCACCTTTCAGTTTTCAAAAGAAAGGGTGCTTTTTTAGGTGCTTTTCCTAAATTCATTCTCAGTTGTCCGCTTGTTTAGTCTCTGAAGATGTCTTTTTTGAGGCAGCTGCTGAAATTATTGGCTTATTCAATGATTTCAGGATTCAAATGTGTCATTTAACCTTGGATCTGGGATTTGTGGTAGATTTGATTCAGTGCCTGGTGATAATTATACACCCATCTAACTAGTTTCCTTATTCTACAAACTGGTTAAGGCATCAAGGGATTCTGAATTTAGGAATTTAGTGTGAGCAGACAATTTGTCTTTGATCATATAAAAACTAGTTATAATGTCTGTGTAAGGTGTAATGAATGAAGACATCATAGACTGTGGCTTATCTCTGAAGCCCCCTGTATACCCTCCATCCCATTGCCTTCCCTTCCCCCTCTGAGGAAACCATTACCCTAAATTTTATGTTTATTATGTCCTTGCCTTTTCTTATACTTTCACTTTAAATATTTGTATTTCTAAACAATATACTGTTTGTTTTTGTAGTTAAAAATTTTTATTTTTAAATCATTGCAAAATTATAAAGAAGTTACCAGAATAGTATGAATAACTCTCGTATAGCCTCCACCGAGGTTCTCCAGTGTTAACATTTTACCACATTTGCTTCATCATTCTTCCCCTTAGATAGCTGTAGATATACATATGCAAATACACATAAGCACACATATATATATATATATAATTTTTCTACTGAGAGTAAGTTACAGACATGCTGTTCCAGTCTAATGTGTATTCCACTTCATGTGTGTTTTACTTCAATGTGTATTTCCCAAGAAAATAAGGATGCTGTCTGACATAATCCCATATAATCATCTAGGTCAGGAAATTAACATAGACATAATTCTACCACGTACTTCAAACTTTGCCCATTGGGCCAATGGTCCTTGGTACCTTCTTTCCCGCTTCTGATTCCGAATCCTCTCCAGAATTGCAAGTTGCATTTACTTGTCAAGTTTCTTTAGCTGCTTTCCATCTGGAACAGGTCTTCAGTCTTTCTTTGTCTTTCATGTCCTTGTTATTTTTCAAGAATATAGAACAGCTTTTTTTTTTTTTAAGAATATCTGTCAATTTGAGTTTGCCTAATGTTTCCTCATGATTAGATTCAGATTATGCATTTTTCGGGCAGGAATATCACAGAAGTGATGCTGTGTTCTTCTCAGTGCATGGATCAGGAGGCACATGATGTTGATTTGTCTCATTAATGGTGATGTTAGCTTTGTTCACTTGGTGAAGGTGGTGTTTACCAGGTTTTTCCATCATAAAGCAATTGTCTTTCTCTGCAAAATAAATTTTGTGGGGAGATATTTTGAAATTGTATAAATATCCTATTCCTCAACACATTTTCACCCACTAGTTTTAACACTCGTTGATGGTTTTTGCATGAATCATTTATTATGATAATGATTGCCAAATGCTCATTTTCTGTTTCTATCATTCCTTCCACATGTATTAGTTGGTATTCTACTCTAAGGAAGAACTCTCCCTTATTTATTTATTTATTCATTCATTCATTCATTTGGGTGGACTCATGGATTCCTATTTTATTCAATGGGTTTTAATTCATTACTACTATTATTTATTTGGATGCTCAAATTGACCCATATTTGGCTAGCAGGGGCTTCTTCAAGGTGGCTCCTGTGTGCTTTTTACCATTCTCCAACTCTATTTTCAGCACTTCCTTACTTTTTGGCACAAAATTATATTCCAAATATGTCTTGTATTTCTGTGCTTCAGCTCTGGAGTCACTGTGGTTCTTTCTGGTGGAGAATGGTATATAAAAATCAAGATCTGAGCATGGGGGGTACTGATTGCTACCGGGTATCATTTCTAGGCCCTCTCAATAGATAGAGCTAGGAAGGAAACACATCTATTTGATCTACCTAAATTAGACACCATGAGTTGACACCAATACCTCCAATTCAAATCCGGTACCATAGAGTTTGTTCCAGCATCCCCCCTTTCCATATTTGTAATTCCCTTCTGAAAAGCCTGGCTGTCATTATCCACAATATATTTACATACTTTCTTTTTGCCCCTATATGTAATCAGTCTTCTGGCCCTGGTGGCTGTCTCCTCCACCATATCTCTGCCCCCTAACCTGCCTCCTTGACTCTACACTTCTCCAGCCCCAGTCCCCCTGGCCCTGTTAGCCCTGTCAGCCTTGACCACCCTATAAACTTGACTGCCTCCACATTCTTGGCCCTACCAGGCCTGCCAGCCTGGGCTATGTTAAGGGAGGGAAGCAAAAGGAAAAGCATCAAGAAATATTTTATAAAGAAAAAAGGAAGGGAAGCGAGGGCTGTTTTCCATATTTTTGTATGAAAGAGAGTTTTTACAAATGTATAACATAGTATTTAATAGTCCCCAACCTGGAGGCTGACTGTGGTTCAAATTCTGGATTTGTCACCTACCAGCTGTGTTATCTTGGGCAAGGTACTTAACATCTCTGTGCCACAGTTTTCTCAACTGTAAAATGGGGCTAGTAATAGTACCTACCTCATAGGGTTCTTGTGAGGTTTAAATGAGTTTATACATGTAAAGTGTGTAGGGCAGTGTCTTGCACACAGTAAGTACATTTAAGTATTTTTATTATTATCAGACATCCTATTATTTTGAAACATGTTGCTTTATTTTTCTAATAAAAAGTTACTAAACACCAGTGAATCATTACTGATGTCTTCAGTAGAGATCAAAAAAATTACCAAGTTACTTTTTTAGTCTATCAAAAAATATGTCTTCCGTCCAGCCTGGTGGCGCAAGCGGTTAAGTGCGCATGCTCTGCTGCAGCGGCCCGGGGTTCGCCGGTTCGGATCCCGGGTGCGCACCAACGCACCACTTGGCACGCCATGCTGTGGTGGCGTCCCATATAAAATGGAGGAAGATGGGCACAGGTGTTAGCCAAGGGCTGGTCTTCCTCAGCAAAAAGAGGAGGATTGGCAGATGTTAGCTCAAGGCTGGTCTTCCTCACACACACACAAATATATATATATATATGTTTTCTACAGCAAAATGGGGCTTCTAAGACAGCCAGAATTTGCACTTTTCCAAGAGTATTTTATCAGGCCCTGAAGTTAAAGGAAAAATTGTTAGAAGTTATTACCAATTAAAAACCAATTGTAAATTAAGATAAAGCTTCCTGGAAATGCTAGTGTAAGCTCCTGGGAAGGTTTTCAAATTATACAATTTTAATTTACATGTGTCTTTTTAGGAGTCTGCATCAGAGGTTGGCAGACTGTGGTCCACAAATCAAATCAAGCCCACTGCCTGCTTTTATGTGGCCAGTGAGCTAAGTGTGGTTTTTACATTTTTAAATGGTTAAAAAATATGAATATTTCAGGGCCGGCCCCGTGGCTTGGTGGTTGAGTGCACGCGCTCCGATGCTGGTGGCCCGGGTTCGGATCCCGGGCGCGCACCGAGGCACCACTTCTCTGTCCATCCTGAGGTCGAGTCCCACATACAGCAACTAGAAGGATGTGCAGCTATGACATACAACTATCTACTGGGGCTTTGGGGGGAAAAAATAAATAAATAAAATCTTTAAAAAAAAAAAAAACGAATATTTCATGACAAGTGAAAATTATATAAAATGCAAATTTCATTTTCTCTAAATAGAGTTTTATTGGAACATAGCCATACCCATTTGTGTATGTATTGTCTATGGCTGCTTTTGATCTACAATGACAAGGCTGAGTAGTTACAACAAAGACAATATGGTCCATAAAGTCTACAATATTTACTTATATGGCCCTTTACAGAAAATTTGCTGACCTTCGGTTTATGTTAGAGATGCAGTCACAGAGGTCTGGAAGAAACTCTGGGAAGAGGGGTCAGGTCCACCAGATACTCCTGGCTTGCCCTGTGACCTTGGACAAGTCACGTAACCTGGTCTGTTTCCTCATCTGTGAAATCAGAATATCAATCCAGAAGATCTAAGTCCCTCATGCTACCCTTTGGTGTCTTTGTAACATGGATTCACTCGATTCTACCTTTATAGGCTGACAGGTTTTTTTTTTTTTTTATAAGACAATCTCACTTCATCTTTCTTTTCCATTAATCTGCTTAATGTGAATTGAGCTAATATGGCAATTTTCATCTCTGTCCAAAAGCTTCAGAAATCTTTGAGACCTCATATTTTTATCTGATTTTATTTCCCATTACAGTGCCAAAGCGTGGATTTTGTGTAATGGATTTTGATACACGTTACCTTATTTTGTTGGATGGCCAGGCTATTTTACAATGTCCCAAAGAGCAGTTTACTCTGTTCCATAGCAACAAGCCTATTGCCCAAATTCGCCATCTGGTGTTTGAAGCCTCTATCTTGCGGAGATTTTTTTCATTAGCTGACAGTCATTACTCATCTGCTTTTGGCTTTAGTATTCCTGACATTCTGGTTATTGCTCATCCTAAATAGTCCCAGTTTCAAGTAAGAGAGCACGTGGAATTGTTTGCTTAACAGAAGGGATTCAATTTCCTCATCTGGAAAACAAGAGAGTCGGATGAGAAGATTCCTGCCAGGTGGCACCATCTGTGGTTTTATGAAACTTGGTTTTTGACTACTTCTGTATGTGCTTGACAGCCCACCTAGACTGTGGCCTGTGAGGAGGAAGGCCATGGGCCATGATAGGCACTCCTGATGGTGAATGATGGAATAAGAAAATGAACAGCCACATAAGCCCAGGTAACCTCCGGAGGAAAGAATCACTGCCCCATAAAGAAAACGTTAGTGATATTTTGTAATTTTGCCGCATTCGTTTTCCAAAATACTTTTAGAGATTTCCTAAAAGTAAATCTCCAGGCCGTGACCTACAAAGCCCCTGGCTATCTTCTCCATCTGGTTTCCTACCACTCTTTCTTCTAGTCCTTGGGTTGTATACCACTGGCCTCTCTGTTGTTTCAAAGCATGCCCAATTTAAATATACGTATCAGGACCCTTGTACTGGTTGTTGCCTCTACCTGGAATGCTCGTCTCAGAATATGTAACTGGTTTACACCCTCCCTTCATGCAAATATGTGCTCAAACATCATCTCTGAGAGACCATCACACCCCATATTTTATCTTATTCATTTACTTTGCTTCATTTTTCATCATAGCACTCATATACAGTATATCTTATATTCATCTATCAGTTTATTGTTCCTAGTCCCTGGGATAGTGCTTCTCACATAGGGTTCACTCAGGCAGTAGTTGTCGAGTGACTACATGAATAAGAGCAAGAAAAAAAATCTGAGTACTTTATTTGTGGATTAAAGTTCTCTCCAACCCAGTGCTCCAATGTTATTTAAAGTACACTCCTGTCCATAACACCACTTGTAGCTTTTTTGCCTCTATGCCTCTGCTCCTATCATTGTGTACTTTGCCATCCCTTTCCCTCCAGCCGTGGATACTTATCAAGTACCAAATCCTACCTGTCATTGTCAGAGTTCTGTCCTTTCTTTGAAACCTTCACTGACTATGCCCGCTATCTCTGAACTGGTAGGATCCATTGCACTCTGTCATCATGCCCTCACCCGTCTCGTTCATTATCTGTCTGTGTGTCTTAACTGCTCAACCACAGGCTCCATGACTAGAGATTATATTTATGTATTTCTATTTTTTTTACTTTACATTTTCATATACATTTTAAATGGAATTAACTTTATTGTTTTAGCTAGAATAAAACATTTATTATTAACAATTTTGAATCTAAAAAGTTATAAATATTAAAGCAAAAATTAACCCTAAAATCTACCAAGAGAAATAATAACCACTGTCAACGTTTAGACACACCAGCCCTAACACACAAACACACACACACCATATTCTTATAAAAAATGTGATCATACCATACATGTTCTAGTAACCTGCGTTTTTTTAAAGTCTTAAGATTGTATCAAAGATAATTTAGTAAATCTAAGTATTCACTAATACTTTTCATTGCTACAGTGTTTAGTTGTGTTTAACCAATCCGTTATTGACTGACTTTGAAATTGTTCGCAATTTTTCACTATTGCACATGTTTGGTGTACATTTTGGGGATAAGTAGATTGAGAGATTTGAAGAGAGGGTAGATTTGAAATCATCACAGTGGAGGCTGGAACATGAATTGACTAGAGAAATGCTCTTCCCGTTTTTTCACTAACGTGCCCCCAAAAGAATTTTGAAAAACTCTGCATGCTTTCATATTTTTAAAACTTGATACGTATAGTTCTTATTAGATTTAAATATGTATAAAGCCCATAATTTCTGGCAAATCGTAAATATATACATATTAAAATTAAGCTGTACCATTGCTTTTTAAAATGTGTCTGATGGAATCAAATAGATATCAAAGTGATTTGATATCTACCTTAACTTCTTTTTAAAAAATCATGAACTAGCTTCTCTTTAATGATCCGAAATGCTATATAGTCCCTTTTCTTCTTGAATTACTAATTCTATTCTACTTTCCTTACAGTGTTTGTGCTCATGCAATATAGTTTTACAGTTGAAAGTCTTTTATTGATCAACCATTGCAGTAAAACCCTTGTGCATGCACTTAAGTGTTTAAAATTTCCTGAGACCATAAGGAAATCTTAAAATGTCTATTACGTGTTTTGAAAGGTAATTTGTTAAATGTAAAATAAAAAGGCTGTTTTTTCCTCCAACTAGATAATATATCTAGGGATGAGTGTTACTTGTTGATAGAATGAAATAGAAGCAGCATCTATTTCTTTTCTTGTTTTCCATTTTTGTAGATATAAGTGCATTTTCATATAAATCAAGTAGATGGGAATGCAAGGAGCTTTGTTATAGCGATCTCCTTGAACTCTTTGCTCTCCTTCTGAGTTATTGGATAAAAATTGTGTATTAATCTATCACCAAAAAATATTTCTGATGATCTGCCAGTGGATAGGTAATTAGGTCTGCTGTCAGTTTTATTGACAGTAAAGACCACAGTGTTAGAGAGATGTCTTAAGGTGCCAGGCACAGGCACTGGTAGAGTGCATAGGAGCTTGATGATTATAGATGTTCCATCTACCGTGTTGTGTGCTTTGCTCCACTGCTGCTTGTCTCCTCAGGTGCAGCCCAGAGAAGGAGAGAGTTGGGTTCAGTCAGGGTTGAATTTTTACCACATGTGTGTTAACTATAAGACACAAGAAATATGAAATAATAGATGGTGGGATCTAAGCTGGACAAGGAAAATGGTGAAAGAAGACGGCTGAGGGACTGGGGCAAAGTAGACAAGAGAAAGTAAAGGGAAGGCTTTTTAAGGTGGATGATTGATTGGAATAGTTGAAGTGGCAAACAGGAAAAAGGGGAAGTTGTGGTCAGATGTGTGATTCAGTGGTTTTGGAGGTGGAGCACTAACGATTCATGAACATGTCCAAGATATGGCCATGATGTGAAGTTCATGAACTTTATTTGTTCGTGAACAAATCGCTGAAGATAGGTTTACAGAAATAGGTGGCCATGGTGTCAAAAGGTTTGTCCATGTTGATTTTATAAGGAATGCAGGCAGGGCTTGGAGTGGAGAGAAAGAGTGTGGGGCAGTTGTCAACAGATTTGAACATGAGAGAAAGATTGGTAAAGGAGAACTAAGAGAGGGGAAAGATGCTCTTGAAACCTGAAAGGGCAGGTCTTAAATGAGCTTTGTATGTTCACAAGAAACTGGAGGAAAAGTGGTTTGGAAATGGCTATGGTGAGTGCAGAAGGTACCAAACTCATTCCCTAACCCTGGTGTATAAATACCTGGCATTTGAGAAGCATAGGAGAAGCCACGTCCTGGGGAAGAGCCCTAGTTGTAGGAGGGAGAAACTCAGAGCAGATATTGAAGACACAGGGGAGTTTGCTGCTTATGGAGTGGCGGTAACAAGAGGTCACAGTGAAGGGTTTCGGTAAAAAGAGAGTCGCGGGAGCTTGGTCAGGAACAAGGATGCACAGAGCTCTATGAAGATAATGGTAGAGATTAAGACCCTAGTGTGTATGTGAGGAGCAAGGAAATTCTAGTTTGAGTGTCGACTGCAGAAAACAGAAAAGAGGGTAGGTGGATTTCTTCCAGCAGTCTTTGGGGAGTTAAGCCCTTGCCTAACTACTAAACATCTGCTGTAAGTTGATAGACGATGAGTGTCTTGCTTGGTCAGAATAATTGAGGCTTACGTGCTGCAGACATGCTGAATTATTATTTTAATATATTTTTGCTTTGTATTGCCAGTATATCTTTGGGATTATTTTTGCATCTATATTATTATTATTATTATTATTATTATTATTATTATTATTATTGTGAGGAAGATCAGCCCTGAGCTAACATCCATGCCAGTCCTCTTCTTTTTGTGAGGAGGACCGGCCCTGAGCTAACATCTATTGCCACGCCTCTTCCTTTTTTTTTTTCCTTTTTTCTCCCCAAAGCCCCAGTAGATAGTTGTATGTCATAGCTGCACATCCTTCTAGTTGCTGTATGTGGGACGCCGCCTCAGCATGGCCGGACAAGCGGTGCGTTGGTGAGGGCCCAGGATCCGAACCTGGGCCGCCAGTAGCAGAGCGCGCGCACTTAACCGCTAAGCCATGGGGCCGGCCCCCTGCGTCTATATTATTAAACAACATTGGCTTGCAATTTCTCTCTTTGTTTGCGTATCTGTGTTTGTATATCTGTGTGCACTTTGTCAAGGGTTGGTATGAGGATTATGCTAGCTTCCTAGAAATAAAGTGTCCATTCTTTCTCCACGTTCTGGAGCTCTTTACCTAGTACAGACATTATCTGTTCTTTGTAAGTTGAAAAGAACTTTGCTATGAAATTCTCCGAAAGTGGTCTGTCTAATATGATATGTTAAGCACTTGAAATGTGGCTAGTACAACTGAGGAACTGAATTTTTTTTTGTGAGGAAGATCAGCCCTGAGCTAACATCCATCACCAATCCTCCTCTTTTTGCTGAGGATGATTGGTCCTGGGCTAACATCCGTGCCCATCTTCCTCTACTTTATGTGAGACAGCACCACAGCCTGGCTTAACAAGTGGTGCGTCATTGGGAGCCTGGGATCCGAACATGCGAACCCTGGGCCACCACAGCGTGCACACTTAACCACTGTGCCACCGAGCCGGCCCAGGAACTGAATTTTTAAATTCTTTATTTCTTATTTTTTTTTAATTTAATTTTTCATTTAAAAATTGATACTCATTTCAGTTTTGTAAAACTTTTAAGTGTTTTTGGAACAACCTGGGTATGTGAATCTACTTTTTGCAAATTATATAAAGTCTAAATATACAGATGAAGTATTTGTGGTGAAAATTTAGCGACCAGATTGGAATGTTCTCTAAATGCAAAACATATCCTGGATTTTAAAGATTAAGTACTAACAAAACTAAAATTACTAACTTTTATATTGATTTCATATATTAACATGATAATCTTTTATCATGGCTACCTATGTGGTTAAATAAAATATTTTATTAAAATTAATTTTACTTGGGGGCTGGCCTTGTGGCATAGCTGTTAAGTGCATGTGCTCCGCTGCTGGTGGCCCGGGTTCGGATCCCGGGCGTGCACCGGTGCACTGCCTATCAGGCCATGCTGTGGTGATGTCCCATATAAAGTAGAGGAGGTTTGGCGTGGATGTTAGCTCAGGGCTGGTCTTCCTCAGCCAAAAAAAAAATTAGTTTTACCTTTTCCTTTTTACACTTTTAGTGTGGCTATTAGAAAATTTAAAATTATATATATGGGTTGCATTCGTGACAGGCATTATATTTCTATTAGACAGCATGGTTCTGAACCATGAGCTTTCCTGAAAGGTTAGTAAAACTTCCTCAGTTTCTTCTAGAGTTGCTAGTTCATTCAGTTTTCTTGTCTCTCTAGAATAAATTTTGATTATATATATTTTCCTCAAAAACTGTTTATTTCAAATATATTTTCAAATATGTGAATGTAGTGCTTTACAAATATTATATTTATTTATTCATTTATTTATGGCTTTAATGGTAAATCAGCTCTCAGATATATTGATAAATTGTTTTTGTAATTTTTCACTAATTTTATATCTGCTTTGATATTTATTGATCCAAATATGTTTTTAGAATCATTGAATTTCTTTTCCTTATTTGTAAGAATTACATTTTTATTTTCTCTTCTGATAAAAAAAATCCCAGTTTTTTAAAAAGGGATATCATCAATGAAGAGAGAAGTCAATATTTATTTTATTTTATTTTCAGTTCCACAAACTATTTTTCCTGCAGTATATTGCCTTGCTTCTAATTAATTAGATACATTTTATCTACCAGTTTTACATTTCAGTATTTCACGTTCCATGAAACATTTATTCTCACAATATTGCATTTAAAAATGAAACAGGATATTTCCTGCATATATATTTCATTCTTCCTTGTCCTTTCTTGCTCTGCAATTCATTTTTTATGGAGAAAACAATCTCACTGTACTTAAAAAAGAATCGACAATAGATATAATGTATCTAGCATTTAACCTTGGTCCAGGGATGTGCTAACTTCTTGACTGAAATGATCCTATTTAGTCCTCGCAATAGCCCTGTGAAGTACTTACTGGTGGTAGCCCCAGTTTGCAGATGGGGAAACCAGACTAAGAGAGATCAGAAGCCCCCTCCAAGGTTTCCAGCTGTTGCCCTCAGGCTCACAAGCCCCATGCCAGAGATCACTCTGTTACTGTCTCATACACAGTACTAGAAAAATACAGCAGAGCTCTTGATAGCAGATGTATAGCCTCAGAATGTCAACATAGTTCATGCCAAGATTCAATTGTCAGCAATTATTACATGCAATTATATTCGGTGTTAATAAATTGCCCCGTGATGTACTACTACTATCCTCTGCATTTGGATTTCCCATGACAGCCTGCAAAAATCTTACATTTTTCTGCAGTGGGGTACACTTTCTATAAACAATTGTTTCCTTTAATCATTTTTAGGGGGTGGGGAAAATAGATATCAATTAGCCATTTTTAGTACCCATACTTTCAAATTAGAATTTTTTAAGTCTTACTTAATCAATAGAATGGCAGAAAAGGAGAAGTTTCCTGCAGTTTACTTCTTTGGGCAAGCAAAGGCAGACACCTGTCTTTTTGCCTCCAAACTGTATCCCATTTGGTATCAAATACCTTTTAAAATTAACTCAACTACAGTATAGTCTCTTTTAAAAAGATTTAGATATTTAATAACAACAAATGACCATGGTTCATTAATTCATGATTCTTTTCTTTCTTTTTTTTAAAGATAGTGTTTTTAGAAGAAGCATCCCAACAAGAAAAGCTGGCCAAAGAATGGGGCTTCAAGCCATGTGAAGTAAGAGAACTCAGCCACCAGTAAGTCTTAGCCAACTTCTTCTCTTTTACCATTAGCCAGTCTCCAATGATAAGAAACCTGCCTTGAGAGACAGAGAGACATTGGTTTGTTTGTTTTTGGAGGGGTGAGGTGGGAAGGAGTAGGTAAATATAGAACAGGAAGCTGTAGGACAGAAAGTTCAAGAACTGGAGGCTGCCATCATTCGTTTATTTATTCAGCAAATATTTGTCGAGCTTACTGTGTGCAAGAACTGGGATGTGGAGGTGAATATGCTCTATAAAGTCTTTGCCCTCCCAGGGTTTACAGCCTGTGGAGAACAGTGTAAACAAGGGCACAGATACATAAGCACGGCAGTGGTGGTTGCGATACCTTCTGTAAGGGAAGTGATGAGGGCGCGTGATAGAAGCTGTGGGAAGGAGAGCAGGGAGATGTGAGAGCAGTAACTCTGATAGTGTGGTTGGGGAAGACCTATCTCCACAAGGGCATCTGAGCTGCAATTTTATGTTCCAACTACTTTTAGCTATTTTTAATGTTTGTGCAAAATGTGTTTCCTATGAATGGCCTATTTGTTTCATAGCCTGGTTGATTTGTTTTATAGAAATGGGAATGCTTTTTTTAAACTCAAAGATTTGATCTTGTGTTAGGCCAAGTGTGTTTCCACAGTCCATAAAAGTTCCAAGGTCAATCAAAATCATTTTCATTCTAAAAACATGTTTATAACTTGGGAAGTGACTTTAGAGTAACATACTGAGAACACTGCACCAGGAATTACAGCACCTGGCTTGGATCCTCATGCTAGAGCTTTGTGGCTGTTAGATGTACAGCAAGCCACCTTCCTTCTTGAGCTTGTCTCCTAGGCTGTTAGCAAAAGGATTGTCCTGTATCATGTGGACGCCTCGTCCCCTGCAGCAGATCTGTGAGTTGGGTTACCCCTAAGGCTTTGAGGCCGAGGGCCAGCCACCGTCCAGAGATATGGGGTGACTAGTCGTAAAGTTTTGTTGCACTTACATTTGTACTCATATCTCCTACCTCCTTCCCTCTCGCTGCTGCCTCTCTATGGGCTTGGAAGCATGCGGGCAATGGGCATGGAGATGAATGCAATGAGCCTAGAGATAATTCCAGATACTTCTGCTATTACTGTCTACTTCCTCTTGCTAGAGTTTCATGAGAGTATAGGTTGAGGAACAACTGACATTTATAGTCACCTGCCTGTGTGCCTTAGGGATTAGAAGAAGGCTTGGGAGTGGACACGATGGAGCGGGAGGGGGTGAGAGGATACTGGAGTGGCTGGCGGATGGGGAGAGGGGTGAACACATCCATGGGTCTTTACATCCTTCTGTCCCTCTTTATGAGGCTGCTTTTGGAGTTAAATCCATCAAACAAATGCATATTCTCAGGGACTTGTAAGTACTACACACAGAAAAGTGGTAAGATAAGAAAAAATTTAAACTTTGGTGGAAGACTGAAGTCTTTGAAGAAAATTCATATTTAAAATGCAAAGTAATTCTTAAACACATAGGATATATGAAGCTGAATTTCTTTGTTAGGGTTAAAATACCACAGAAGACGATATCTCTGACAGTCTGTAATAGATTCAGTGTATCTTCAGGTCTATATCGGCATAATGTGGATTTTTTAAAAAAATAAACATTACAACTGGAGCATTCCGAGCAGTGCTTTGGTGGGAGTGGGTCAGATTGTGGCCATGGACCGTGGAGAGGTTGGCAGGGCCAAGATTAGGGTGAGGCGAGTGAGGCATTCCCCCTGGGCACAGAATTCAAGGGTGGTGCGAAGGGCAAAAAACTCAGTGATCAAGATAAGTAATAGTTTAACGAATATTTTTAAAAATCAAAATTAATGCAAAAAATCCACGATAAACAAAATACCAAAATTTTAAATACAGACGGGACATTGTTGTTTCTTTAACACCCTTGCATTTTTGTGCAACAAAACAGTCATTTTCAAACAGCCTGGGGCTCCCAGGCCTGGGACCATCACACCCCCTGCAGGTTGGTTTGGTGAGGGTTGACACTGGTGTGTGAATAGATTGGGCAACTCAGACTTTTGTATACAGTCACGTGTTTTGATTGTAGGGCTTTAATTAATGTTTTCCACTTGGTTAAAAGATGGGTGGATGTTTTGATAAGTGTCTATAGGGGCACACTGTTCTTCTTCCTCAGGTTCTAATACAGCCTGGCCAGCATTGCAGGTTTAGAATATGAAGTTGATGGTTTTTATCTGGAGGAAGTCGAGATTTTCTAAGGGAATTAAGTAAAGTGCAAAGAGGAAGGCTGAAAAGCGGAAGGAGAAAGGAGCGCTTCTTCACCTTCTGCTGCTTCAGCCTCCAAGCCACATCTCTGCTTTGCCTGCACCTTGACTTGTGATGGCTACGATTTAGCTGCAAGTGATGTCTTGAATGGAGAACTGAGTCCTAACCCTGGCTGGGCCACTAATGAATAGCATGTCTGAAAATGAGCTTGCCACCCAGAGCTTCCTTTCGCTCTCTCCGTAAAATGAATAGTTGGGCTCAGTGACCTTGAATCTCACGTGCAGTTCTGACAGTCCCCACTCTTGCGTGTGCCGATATCTGTCACAATCCTGGACTATAATTTTTGATTATGTGAATGTTCCTATTAATATGCCTTTCACAGTGCTTCCTGTTTCCTAAAAAGGATTGCTAGCTTTTCTGGACGGAAGTTACACTTCAGATGCAATAATTCCTTGCTCTTTTGTTGCCTCTGAAGACTTCGTAGCCTGAGTTATCGCCTTTGCTTCTTTCATCTCTGCTGCCCTTGGAACATGCTCGGGTTTCTCCAGCGTGGAAAACAAGTGACTTTCGTTCTTCCCTACATTACCATTCTAACTGTCACCACCAAATAGTTGTTGCCCACTACTTCCCCTAACACCTCTTTCTTGTGCGTGGCTCTGTCCTCAGCACCTCAGATAGTAGGATAGTAACTAAAACATACTAGAGACTCAGTAAGTACTTATATAATGAAGGCCTGAATCCATGTGAATTTGGGTACCTCCCCAATCATTGCACAGAAATGAGGTTTCTGGGTTTTTCCTGAGGCCACTTGTCCTTGACTCTTGCAGTTTTTGACAGTGGTCACTGTCCTGTACTCCCTCCCTTCATTGCTCTCCTCAATGCTCTCTGTCCTGGGTCTCCCTCTATCCTCCTGACAATGACTCTTCCAAGATGGAGCAGGACCTTCTTCCTCACTCTTACTCCTTAAGTGGAGGGTACTGCTGAAGGTTTAGTTTTGTTCTTCCTTCCGTAGAAATCTCTGGCACTGCCAATTTCTAGGACCAACTTCTAGAAGTGACAGAGGAGACTCTCAGATCTTAATCTCATCTGTAACTTTTGTGGCCTCTTATCCCACGTTTCCAATTGCTATTTGCAGACTTGGAGGTCATACTTTGACTGTAGGCTGAAGATGACATCAAATAGGCTTTCCTTCTATCGTCTCTGTACTTTGCCATGTGTTCAGCCTCACAGGCTCAAAAATGTACTCTCTTTGACTATTCCTCTCCTTTGCTTCCTAGAGCTAATAAAAGACCAAGTGCCTTCTCCTGTGTTCATCTGTTTCCTTTCTGTTCCCATCCCCATAATCTTTGTTCAGAAATCTCATGCTGGAGAGATTGCAGGAGTCTCCCTACGTGTGCCTGCCGCCACCAGGTTCGTCTTCCTAACCTTTAGGTTCAGTGTGTCACAGTTCTGCAAAGAAAGTAAAAAACAAAGAAACAAATACCATTATGATCCGCTCCCTTTTGGCTACAGAATAACAAATACATGTTAATTCACTAAACTGAATGTTCAAGACCCTTTCTAAAACAACTTTTTTTGTAGTTTTTAGGAAACATTTTTATATAGTAAAACGCATAGATCTTAGTTATATAATTTGATAAAGTTTGACAAATATAGATACCTATGTAACCAACACACCAATCAAGATATAAAACATTCCTATCATCCTAGAAAGTTCCTTTGTACTCCTTCCAGCCCCTCACCGTTTGATTTCTATCACATAGATTACTTTTGACTGTTTTTGAACACTATTTAAATGGAATAACTCAATATATACTCTTTTATGTCTGAATTCATTCGACATAATGTTTTTGAGATTTATCTGTACTGTTGTGTGTATCAGTAGTTCATTCTTTTTCTTTGCTGAATAGTATTCCATTGTGTCATGTCAATATACCACAGTTTATTTTCCTATGGTATTTGGACTATTTCCAATTTGAGGCTAGTATGAATAAAGCTACTATAAACATTCTTGTACAACCCTTTTTGTAAACATATGTTTTGTTTCACTTGGGTAAATCACTAAGACCCTTTCTATTTTGACCAGAGCTACCTCTCTCTTTCTTTCCACCTTTCCTTTCTGTCTCTCTCTCTCTCTGTCACACACACATGCACACACACACACAGATGCCCTCACTCTTCCCTAATTCCTCAACTAGATTATAATCCCTTTGAGGACAAGAAGATGTCTTATTTCTCTTTGAACTCCCTACAAGGCTTAGCAGAGTTTCTTAAACATAGTAGGTGCTTGGGAAATATTATTTGATTGAACAATTCAACTACATGAAGAAATCACACTGCATCCCATTTTTCTGCTGGTGGAGACAGTAAACGCCCCAAGGACTGAAGTATCCTGCAGAGCTCAGTGACTGACACCTGAGGGGAATCCGTATTTCATCCTCCCTCTCTGCACCCCGCCCCCACTGTAAGCCCACATTGTAGGCCCTTCTTGCCATGCTTACAGGTTGTCATGCTCTTCATTTCCAGAGTGAATGAAGAATTCTGTCACGCAGAGGGCAGTGACAAGGGTACTGAGTCTGCAGACGAACTACCTGGGTTTGAGTCCAGGCTCCAGAGCTGACTAGTTGAATGATTACTTTTTTCAAGCTATTTAAATTTCCTGAGCTTCAGTTTACTCTTATGCAAATGGGGATAACAATACTACTTCATAAGTTTTTTGTGAGCGTTGCATCATCATCACAGCTAATATTTTTTGTTGGCTTTCCATTATCTAGCTCAATCCTCAATCCTCACAACAGCCCTATGGCACTACTACTATCTCCATTTTACATAAGGGGAAACTGAGTCACAGAGAGGTTACATAACATGTTGAATAGCCCACTGCTGTTTTATGGTGGGGCCTGAACTCAAAATCAGGCAGTCTGAGTCAAGAATGTATATACTTAACCCTTATAATAAACTGCCTCCAACAAAGAATATGATGCACAGAAAACGCTGTGCCCGGTGCCCAGTACATGTACGTCTTCAGCAAACATCACCTGCCCTCACCATCATCATTATCATTATCACCACCGTTCCTAGTTCTCATTTTTTAAAAATAAAGCATATAAAGAAGATCATGGCTTTATTTGTCTTCCATTTAGGTAGTATACATTTGAATTGGTAGTGTAAGGGATTCTTTGTTATGTCAAATTTTAAGTTCAAGTTCCTTATGTATGTAAAATATAATTAATATCTACTTGAGGTGATGGTGCATACTATCTTTTAACAAATACCTGTTTGGATGAGATTAGACACTTAATAGACACAGTGAACTGGATTAGTTCTTTAGAAAAGCTTTAAGTATCTGTTAGCATTGGGCTGCCTCAGTTCTGTGGGTAGTGTCTCTGAAAACTCTTAAGAACATCTTTCCAGGACTTCCTGTTATAAGAATTAACAGAAATGTGAAAATTAATTGGTGGATCAGAGTACCAGCAGGAGTGATCAGAAGCACGGGGAGAATGGTGGTCATAGCGTTGCAACTGTATCTTCTCTTGACTTTACACCACTCACCCACTGATACTCTTATCACCTAAGATTGCTGTCTCTAACCAGCCTCAGTTTCCTCTGGCTGCTGCCCCTACATCACGTGGGAAAGGGCTAGATTGCTAGTCAGCTAAGGTCCAGATGACCATTAGGTCTAAAATGGTGGCCACTCTGTTTCTCGTCTTCAGTCACCCTTAGTTGCTGTGTGCACTTCCTCAGCATGGCTCTAGAAGTTTTGAAGCCCTCCTGTCTCATCTTTGCTCTCTGTCCTGCAGCCCCCAATTATGAGAACAAGGTCACAGGATGAAATCATAGCTTCTCTGATATCTTGTGCGACGACTGCTTTCCTTCTGCTCAATGCTGTGCTTTTTTCTTCCTTCATCATCTTTTGTTAACTTCACAGCTGCCCTTGCAACTTAAGAGCTGTCTTCCTCCTAGCAGAGCTTTATTGTTACTTCCTGACCTCTAAATAATAGTATAATTTACAGTCGTCTGATTGCGTCAGCTCTAAACCTGGGTGGGGTGATGGTACATCATTCCAAGAGAAAATGTGATTTAAAGATATGGGAAATGACTACAGATGTTATTAAATTCTTTTCCTCTCATCTTCATTTCCAGTGAGTTCTTCATACCTGGGCTGGTTGATACGCACATCCATGCCCCTCAGTATTTTTTTGCTGGGAGTAATGTGGACTTGCCACTTTTGGAGTGGCTGACCAAGTACACCTTTCCCACAGAACACAGATTCCGGAGCATCGACTTTGCTGAAGAAGTATATACCAGAGTTGTCGTAAGTATCCCGATTTTGAGTATTGGTGTATTATGTCTGGTCATCTATAGAAACATCCATTCCTTGAGGCAAATTTAAATTATAAAACTCAGGCAGTTAAGGCTAGAATGGACTATAGAGATTTTTTTATTTCTTTCACAAGCCAGGTAGGTTTGTGACCACCTCACCTTCACAGCTAGTCACTAGCAAAGACAGAACTTGAATCCAAATTCCTGAGTCCCCTGGGCTTCCATTACTCTCTTTTACGTATTGTGTTTTACTTTACTAAATTTGGGTTTAATGCATATGTGTGTTCTCTTACTCCTGCCAATCCACAATACTGTCCTAGGGACCATATGGAATAGCTGTGTAACCTTTGGAAAGTTCTGTGACTCATTTTCCCCATCTGTAAAAAAATAGAGATAATGATAGTACCTACTTCATATGATTATTATGATTATGATAATTAAGCAAGTTAGTAATAACGTGAGATTCTTAGAATAGTACCTGACACATGGTAAGTACTCTATGTGTTTGCTTTAAAAAAATACCCAAGGAAATTTCAAATTAAAATTTCAAATTACAGTTAGAAGGACGTCACATTATTTTGGTACCTTCGCAAGGAGGGAAAATAGGATCGCCCCCAATTGCAGGGCATGTGGAGATGTGATGAGCATGAGCACCACTAGAGGGAACTATGGAGCTAGTTCAGTCATTGAACAGCAGCTGCGGTTGTGTGCCCACCATGTATTGAAGGCTCTGAAAATGTCCTTCCTTCCACTCTCTCAAGAAAATTAGTTCCCTTCTTTTTACTCCAGCCCTGTGCCCACTCCACTCAGCAACCAGAAACAGCTTCTGCAGTTGAGAATTAAAGCCGCAAATACCTTCCTATCTGACCACTACCTCCTGTCATTCAGCATACTTAGTCTGAAGATTCCTGCATTTTTGTTGGACCCATTGATGGGTTTTCTCCTAAAGCGATGGCTATGTGATGGTGACAATATTATAAGCCTTATACAGTGACTTAGCCATCCTGCCAGTTTCCCTGGTCTTGCGTCATTCAAGCCTTGAGGAGTAAAAGCAAGCTCTATCATTTATACACTTTCCTCACTTAATTATAAATTCAGTGTAATTGTGGATCTTACATATTTAGCATGCATCCACATGACACCAGAAAAACTGAGAAGTGCTAAAGCTGTGTATGAAGTTGCTGGCGCATTGTGTTAATGGATTGTGTTAACCACGCTAAATCTTTTTATTCTCAAAATTTATTTATACCTTGCATTGTTCTAAAAAGAGTTTGAGATGTTTTAAAATTACATAGTATACAACAGAAGAAAATGAGTCACAAAATCACAGCAAAGGAAGAAAAGGGGGGAGGATAAATAAAATAAAACCAAGAAGTAAGTGTATGCCATGGGGGTCCATGCACTTGTTAGAATTTGTCACAAATTTAGCTTTAAGTATCTAACAGCTGACCCAGAGAGGGAAATCAATTTTGAAATTTACTCTGTATGTATGATAAAAAATAAAACATTTGTTAAGATAAAGCATATCTATTCCTCATACTGAAATTTAAGAAAATTAATCCCAATATTTCAATATAGTTACATGCTACGTTGACAAAATCTATATTTTCGAGGTGCTATAGTATCAAAAAGTACTACATCAGTCTTTTATGTTTAGAGAGAGTATTTAGAACTATCTATCCTCAGGCACTACTCCACAAATATTATTTCTTACATCAGAGATTTGTTTAAGTATTTGATGCCAAGGAGTACAAAATGGGTGTTATTTTCTACAAATGTTTGCAGTGTTTCTAGTTATGTTTCTGATTATGAGCGGGCCCACACACTTTAAGAGTTGGATGAGCAGAGGGTATGGTTAACCTCTGTTTAAGAAAGTTGAGATATGTTAACTACAACCTGTCCCTAGGCTGGAGACTGCCCATGGCAATGTAAAGGTGTATGAAGGCAGTACCCATGAATAGAACCAAGAATTTTTTTTATTTTCTTTCTGAGAAAACAGTCCTAGATCTACACTTCAACAAATGGGCAATCAAGTCCCAAGAGTTTTGCACCATAGATTTTGATAGTGATCATTCAATCTGCAAATAATTTTAAGTATATATTAGCAAACATCTCCTGAGATTATTAAGAAAAAAATCCCAGTAAGTCAATCCTGGAATATCTCCCTGTAAACATTGCAAACTGGGTGAGGGATTGCAGTTTCAAACTGGACTGTAATGAACTAAAAAGACTAGAAAGTTCAGGAATCTATGTATTATATGACAGACATGGGACTGGAGAGTGAGGTTCCTGGTAAATGTGCCAAGACAAACTAGGTGCAAATATTCTCCTGGATAATAGAATGAATATGCTTACTCTACGGGGTTGTCAAAGATTCCACAGATGAATCCAGATAATTCCAAAGGGGTATCAGGTCATTAAAGTACAAAGTGAAAAGACAGGGAGTCAGGTCACTCATTTTCCCCTATTTTAGCTCATAGCAATTGTCTGATCTGTTAAGGGGCCATTGCTACTGGCCTTGAAGATCATGGTTCATCTTAAGTTTGGAATCTACTTTGAGCTCAAAAAGCTTGGTCTCAAGACCCTTCTTGTCAAGAATGGAAGGCTGAGGAAAGGTTGGGAAACACAGCCAACAGTTTGATGCTATTTCTTTATAAATGGGAAACATATAAAATCATCATTAATGGAAAAGCCCTTTCAAAAGCTTATGAGAAACTAGGGTGGAATGGGGTCTGGAACATAAAATAGATGAAGAGGGAAGTAGCTGCAGTTTAGATGGCCTGTCTAGTAAGATTTTTAAGCCAAACTCTTATTTTTTTCAATTACATAAGTCACACACAGGTGGCTAGTTTGTTAAATAGGCTGAACTCGATGGGAACAAACAGGAGTAGCTTCGAGAATTCTTTTCTTCCTTCTTTCCCTCCTTTCCTTCCTCCCTTCCTTTTTTTCCCCCTCTGTGGGCTCTCCCTGTCCTGTCCCTCTGTGGGATCTCCCTGTCCTCTCCTTTAATTATAATTTGGGCAGATTCTAGAACTTTCTAGTCTTTCTAATTCCTTCCAGTCCATCCAGAAGCTTTTCTGGATGAGAAGCTTTTCTCCCCCTGACTCAGAGGAAGGACTCGCTGTTGTTGTCTATCTGGGTTGTAATTCCATTGTCCTCGTTGCTAAATAGCCGAAATTTTCCATTTTGATTTCATCGTCAAGCCTAGGTTTTAGGAAGATGTTTAAAATTTTGAGAATTTAGAGAATGTTAGATTACGCTTCTGTTTTAATTTTGAGTTTCATTTTATTCTGGTTAGTAAATGGAACTTGTGTGATTATTTTTCTTGGGAATTAGTTCACTGTTCTTTTATGACCTAACAAAAGGTCAATTTTTATTCTGTACACTTTTTTAAATACGATGTTTTCTCTGTCGATATGACACTTTTATATCTCTATTAGATTAAGTTAAAAGTGTTAAACATTTTCTATCATTTCCCTCTATCTTCTCCCATATAACAAGGCAAGAACCTTACATACTCTTCCCTTCTTTGTGGTATGACCCCCCACCATGTCCTGTGTTATAGCATCTGAGATTTTAGTTCCAGTTAATTTTTTTCACCATCTATATTTAATTTAAAGTAAGTTTTAACTTTTAAATTTAATATCTTAAAATTTATCTTAATTTAATTCCAGTTTGTTATTTTTCAACATCTGCACTTAATTTAACAAAGAGCTTTACTTTTTCTTTTGCTATTTAGATCCCTTGTTTTGCTTTTAGATTCATTTTTCATTTTCTTGTAATATAGCCTCTGATAATTCTTTTAATAATTCTTTTTAATAATTCATTTGAAATGATACACATTTCAAATCTTTGAATTACCAAAAAGTGGTTTTACTTTGTTCTGACTCTTGAATGATGCGCTTTAGCTGTAGGGAGAATTCTATTTGAAATTATTTGCCCACCAGCATCCAGTGTGCTGATGTCAATCTGATTCTCATTCCTTTTTAGCTAATTTACTGGCCTACAGGATTTGCTTCATTCTTGGTGTTCTGAAATTTCACTTACAGATCTTTTTTTCAGTTCATTCTCTTTAATATATAGTTATTTCAGTATGAGAACTCCTGTCTTCCATTGTGGGAAATAAATTTCTCTCTCTCACACAAATTCATTCTCTCTCTCTCTTTCTCTCTGTGTCAGTATATTCTTCCCTCCAATCTGCTCTTTCTTTTGGTAACTCCTGTTAGAAAAATGTTGACACTTCTGTATATCCTTTCGTGCTACATTCTTACAGAATGCCGTGGCCCAATTTTGCAAGTTATTAATTCACTCTTGTGTTATAATAGCCTGTTCCTCTTTCAAGGATACAGTGTCCCATCTTGTTCATTTAAGGATGATAATTTAGTTCATTTTATACCTCTTGTTGCTTTAGTAATTCTGCTTCTTCAGGTGTTCATTCAGCGGATATTTTCTGAGCACACACTAGGATCCAGGCACTTTTCTAGTTGCTGGAGTTGAATTCGATGCCTCTGTCATGGTATTAGCTTCTCTCCTGGATTTGTGATTCGGATAGAGAGCTAGCCCACCCTTTTCTGTGGCTGACAGGCTCTAAACATTCTCCACTGGCAGCCAAACTTATTTTCTTTCACATGCAAAGTGTCTTAAAATTTGAAAAGATTGACATAAAAATCCAGATTTCCTTCTCTTGACCTTTGGGACTAGCTGATATCACTGGGCTCTCATTTGCTTTTTTTCAACAATTGGCTGAAGCTGAGTGGAGGCAGCTAAGATAGAGCTTGTTCTTCCTTATTATCTTAAGTCCAAACTACTTTGTTCCTGCAGACATTCGAGTTGCTAACCCAACCCCTGTTCTAGTCAAGAGAGCTCTCTTATTTCACAAATGAGGAAGCTGATGTTGAGAAAGTAATCTTTCTTAAGGTCACATGGCTCATAATATGCAAGAAGCAAGTGAGAACCCGGTCGGGAGGGTTTTCCTCTGCGATTTATTTATTTATTTATTTATTTAGTTAGTTAGTTAGTTAGTTAGTTAGTTAGTGAGGAGGACTAGCCCTGAGCAAACATCTGATGCCAATCCTCCCCTTTTTTCTTGAGGAAGAGTGGCCCTGGGCTAACATCCGTGCCCATCTTCCTCTACTGTATATGGGACGCTGCCACAGCATGGCTTACCAAGTGGTAAGTCGGTGCACGCCCAGGATCCTAACCGGTGAACCCCGGGCCACGGCAGCAGAGCGCGCGCACTTAACCACTTGCGCCACTGGGCCGGCCCCTCCTCTGCATTTTAGAAAGCTTCTGCTGTGTCTGGGGGCTGGGAGCATGGGGGATATCTTTGTACCTTCCTCTCGATTTTGCTGTGAACCTAGCTAACCTAAATTGTCCTGACAATAAAAAGAAGAAAAAAAAAAACTTCTACTAAAGACAGACCTCACTCAGGTCAACCAGTACTTTTTCCAAGTGCTCAGACAGATCAGGCAATATCAGCGTCACTTTATTTCTCGAAATCTTCCCACTGCCTCCCATTCCCTGTTTCTCTCTGGTCAGGATTCTCTAGCACTGCTGTAATCTGGGCGTTCCCCTCTCCCCTGGGTTTAATTCCAGTTTTCTGGATCCAGGAATTCCTTTTCTTTGCATCACTCTCTCATTTTGTTAGAACGCATCTTCTAGGAGCTTCCAAAGAAGGGAAAAATTTTCAAGTCTTCGTATATCTCATTATATCTCTTTTCTACCTTCATACTTGACTGGTAATTTACCAGGGTATAAAATTCTACATTAAAAATAACTTTCCTCCAGAATTCTGAAGGCTTTGTTCCTCTGCTTTCAGCATCACTGGTGATAAATCCAGTGCCATTGTGATTCCTGTCGTGTGTCTGTGACTGCTTTTCTTTTCCTGGAAGCTTTTAGTATCTTCTCTTTACTTGTAGACTTAATATCTCACAATTGTGTGCCTTACTTTGGCTTCTGTTTTTCATTCACTGTGTTGAGCATTCTATGAGGATTTGCACTTTGGAGAATAGTATTATTTTTCAGATAATTTCACCCCCTCCATTTCCTGTGCTTAAAAAATTTTTTTAGAACTCTTATTCTAAATGTTGGACCTCCTAGATTGAGCATAGTTTTCTTATCTTTTCACCCCTGGCTTCCATGTTTTTTCCCTGAGAAATTCTCTTCTAATTTACCCTACAACCCTTCTATTGACTTCCAAATTTTATTGTTAATATTTTTACATTCAAAGAGCTCTTGTTCTCTGATTTTCCTAGAATTCTCTTCTTGTCTTTTGGATAAAATATCTTCTTTTATTTCTTTGAGAATGTTAATCACAGTTTTTTTTTAATCAAGCTTCCTTCTGACCCTATAGATTGCCTGTTTTCTCCAAGATTATTTTCCAGATTCTTCCTTCATTCCCTTCTCCTCTCTCTTATAGTAGCTTTCCTCCAGTGTCTATTGAACTTCAAATGTACATTCATATTTAAGTGTGATGCTCCAAGACACAGACTGGAAGATCCGGGTAGGGGTAGCACTTGTTGACTGGTGAACTTTAATTATAGGATGAGCCGTGAAGGAGTAAACGGCCTTTTCATTGTGGGCCCCAAATATCATTGTGGGACATCTTTCTTCTACAGCCGTTCATCTTCTCTAGGAAAGAGTCCTTCAGTCCTGCCAGGAGTAGTGGGAGTAGTACGTGTGGTGTTTGGGGGAAGAAAAGCGAAGGTCCCAGAGGTCAGCTGGATACCCACTTAAACTTCTTCTTTTCAGTCCGTGCCTCACCTGGTCCTGTGGGATTTGTACACTCTAAATACTACAAAGTTTTATTTAAATACGTTCTAAAAACCACTATGTAATTTCTACGAAGAGTGAATCTCTTCTGCAAAGCGCAGGTTAGGGGTGGTTGGCTGACTCCAACAGGGAGGAGCAAGGTCCTGTCGGAGTCTAATCATCTGTCTACAGACTTTTAGCCAATTCCCTGTAACAACCATGTGCGTCTCTCTCTCTCTCTCTCTCTTTCCAAGTGGCCCCTGGGTTCTCGTCCATGATTTTTTCTTCCAAGAAGATGTTGAAATGTTTCCTCTGCTCAAGTCTCTTCTCTTCTTATTCATTAATAAATTTTATACCCTTTTACTGTTATTTTGGTGGAAATTTGCTGAGAAAGGAAAACAGATACATGTGACCAATCTGCCGGGTTGAACTAGAAGTCTGGCTGGATAATTTTATCCTGTAAAAGATAGAAAAATTTCATTTATTCACTCCCAGATGCAATGAAGTTTGCATATCCTTAAACAATCCTAAAAAATAAAGAATTAATTAGTATCACATTTTATGAATTCTGCGACACAGAACTGTGTGAATCTGGGATATCAAAAGTATCAACATCTCTTCCAGCTAACACTTTTGAAATATAAATACTTTTGACATTTACCTTAACTGTATTTCATATCAAATGGCATACCTTTATATAAAAACATGTTAAAATTAAAAACTGGAATTTTATTTTCATCTGTATATGCCATGTGACTTTTCTGGGCTCAGGCGATTCATGGTTTTGTGATTTATTTTTAGAGGCGAACACTAAAGAATGGAACAACCACCGCTTGTTACTTTGCAACAATTCACACTGACTCATCTCTGCTCCTTGCAGAAATTACAGGTGAGGAGATGAAAGTCTGGTTTATGGGTGCATCAAGCAGACAGCCAGACAGGCCTGGCAATAACTGATACTTGTGAGCAGTCCTGCCTTTTAATTGCTAGAATTTGTGCATTGCATTGCTTGCAAGTAATTAGGTGTTTGCGTATCACTGTGGCCCTTGAATTTTTTTCTGTTGTCTAAGTAGTTTCAGTGTTTACTTTTCGCTTTTGGTTACAAAATGATGTGTATGGATCTGAATTTTGTGTATTAATTTAGGGCTTTTTGGAGCAGGTTTTCTAATTCTAACAGTGGCAACAGTTTATTGTAATCAAGAGATATGTCTTGGCTGTGGGCTAGACTCAAAGTATTGTGCTAGATGCAGGGAACACAATGAAACAGAAAATAGTCTCTGCCCTCGAGGAGCCAGATAGGCTTAATTGTTTAATAAGTACACACATTGATTAATAACTTTAGTGACAGATATAGTGCTCTTACTAGATGCCTGGTATTGTGAAAAGAACTCTACATGGATCATCTCAGCTCAGCTGCAAACAGCCTTTGAGGTAGTTTATAATGTCGTCATGTTAAGGGTGGATAAACTGATGCTCAGAGAGGTTATGTAACGTGCCCAGGTCACACAGCTCGTAAGCAGAGCTGAGACTGGATTTCGATGGATGGTTCCAAAACTCATACCCAGCATGGTGCCTAGCACATAACAGGTGCTCAGTAAATACTGTTGACTGATGTGCTGGCGCTGCTGCTTGCTGCCTAAGGTAGTTTATGCCAAAGGCCTGAGGGGTGATGCTGAAAGTAAAGATTGCCGTTTTTGGAGGAGACAGAGCGAACTCAGCGTTGGATCATCTGGGAAGATTTCATTAAAAGGGCCTTTAAATTGGGCTTTGAAGGGAAGGGGAGAAAGGAAAATGTCTTTCAGGCAGGAGAACTGGCATGGACAAAGGTATGGGGACAGGAACGTCCATGGTGGACACAGGAAGCAGGGCACAGAGTAGCTGAACTAGAGGAGAGGATTCATTGCTTGGTGGGGCAGGAGAGGAGCTTGGGCAGATGGGGTGGTTCAGACTGTGGAGAGATTCAAATACACATCAAAGACTCAAAAAGCGTTTTGAGCCAGATGAGGTAAGTGATGGAGGTGGTGTTTTAAGGAAGAGTAATCTAGTGGCCAGGTATTAAGATGAATTACAGGGGAGAGACAGAGGCAGAAAGGCTTCTCAAAGACTTACGACAAAGGTGGAGACATTGGAAAAACAAAAATTAACATTGCCCCATGTAGTTCAACTTTCCAGCTGAAATAGAACTCCTCTAGCTGCTCTGATGAGGACAAGGTTCTTTAGTGCTGAGAGCTGCTAATAGGACTAAGTAAAGTTCCCCACAGATAATAATATTGGTGTTGCTACAGTTAAGAATAGCGGCAGCATCTGTTGTAAGCCCTGTGTGCCAGACACTTTATATACATCATTGGGTGTATTCCTCATACCCCTGCACATAGCAGAGGTCACTAGGCACATACAAACAAATAATATCCTCTGTTCTGGGAGTAATCAGAGGAACAAGGCATCAATGGAAGAGGCTTTACTACATACAGAATTGAGTGGGGTTTTGTGTTGTGATTGTTCTTAAATGGTGTGATGATCTTTTACATTCTCACTTATGTTTTTATAATGATTTTAATTTAAAAACATTTTTAAAAGGCTCAGGAAAGGCACTATGTAGGAAAGAAACATGACTAGATTCTTTTTGTGTGTGCCTTACAGATAAATTTGGGCAGCGGGCATTTGTGGGCAAAGTCTGCATGGATTTGAATGACGCTGTTCCAGAATACAAGGAAACCACAGAGGAATCAATCAAGGAAACAGAGAGGTGTGTTCCTCTTGATTTGTCCCATGGGCGGTCCCTCAACTGCCCTGATGGAGTTGGAGGTGGAGAGAGGAAACCTCTCTGAACTGGGAGGGATGAGCACATATGTCACTGTGTGGGTTTGCCCAACTTTATGAAATTAACCTGGTCCTAAAAAAAAAAATCATGGCATGTCAATACTCTTTTTGTATATGAAATGATATTTTAAAGACCCTGGGAACTTGTTATAGGAGTCCCAGGGTAAATCCCTTTGAAAAAGTGAAGTATTCTTTTTTAAAGTAAATGATTTACCCGTTCCCTCTCCTTTGTTATAGACCTGGGCTTCTCCTGTAGATTGGATTTGCTTTAAGTGTGTGTGGCCTGCTCATTAAATTATTTTGGGTTGTGGGTCATACTATTGCCTGAGATCGTGACTTTTTCTTATGTTCTTTTTATATTGCATTGGGATATTCCACTGATCCTATAAGTACTTTTTCTACATTTCTTTGATGGCTTTTCCATGGTGCCTTGAGGATTTGACAAGGAATTGTGTTGTATGACACTCAACATCCAAGACACATAGAAGAAAATTCTTTAGATTAAACCTTCCCCAAGACCAAACCTATCCCAATGCAAGTTTTAAAAGTCCAACTTTTCTCCATTCCCTAGGTCTCCGTGGCCTTAAGTGTGTCCCCTGAATAGGGGAGCTTAGGGGCTGCTACGTGCTCACAGAGAGAGGGAAGCACCACCTTCCCCTTAGCATTGGCCATATGCTCAGCTTTTCTATGAATCCATGTTTGTGGTCATAGTAAACCTTAACTCACATTTTATTCTGAAACAAAGGAATACCAGAAGGCAGGAAGCTATAGCTCGTAAGTATTTCCAGCCAGGGCAGAAATAGCCATGTCATAAGCCCCACAGACATCACCATCCCTGCAGCAATCATTGGTAAGATCACCACCCCTGTCACCACCCATTTCACAACCACCCCTGGCCTATTCCTTCTGTCTTACTCCAACATCCCTGCCCAGTAGGACCCTGCCTTTGGAGTAAATGATGTTACGTAAACAAGTAGCTTCCACTTTAGGGAAATTAAGAGTAGAGAGCCCCATGGCTTCTGAATACCTCCAGGTGCACAGGACTCCAGGACTCTAATATCTGTGGAGCATAATATATTGCAATATTCCCTCAAACAGAGCTTAAGCCAGTAGAAAGGCTTGAGTGCTGTGGGAATGCTCGTGAATAGCCCAGCTGATGTTAGATGATAAGATTGCATTTCTCTGTGATTTTGCACTCCATCTCTCTGGCTGCAAATGAGAAGGCAGAGTAATTACTACTTGTTAATCTTTAATTAGTGGTAATGAAACATGTGCAGTGTTGGAAATGTTTGCATGGAAATGAGGACATGTAAGGATCCTGTTTCCACCCTTTTCAAAATTTGTTTGAAAATGCCTAAATTTTCTAACCTCCCATTCATTGCTTTATTTCAGATTCGTGTCAGAAATGCTCCAAAGGAATGTAAGTAAACTTGTTCCCAGTGTGTTTTTGGATTGCCTTTGTGTTGGTTGTAGGGTTCGTTATTAAGTTGTTTGGCAGAGATTAGTCTGTGTGCGTTTGGCTTATCCCATGGGTGCAGAAGTGTTTTCCTAGAATCTTAAATTGTTTTCACAAAGGACCCATCAACTCAGTTCAGTGAGGTCAGGCATTTTTTGCTTTCTCAGTGGTTTTCCCTCCCTCTCCTCTGGAAACTTCTAATTTCACAAGACTGGTCTCTGGGGAGGTGGGAGAGGGATTCATGGATGTGGACAGATTGGTGGCAACTGGAAGTTGTGGCACAGTTTGTTGGCTACATCAACATTGGCTCTGGCCTCATGTTCCCCCTGATCTGGTGATATCCACCCTGACGCCCCAGCCCTGGCTGCCTTGGTCCATCTGTGTGTGGCATGTCACATGGCCTGTACGCACTCAGCCAGGCACCCCCCTTTGCAGCATCCTGGCGTCAGCAAGCCTGTGAAGGCAGTGCTGTTTCCTGCCGCCACCCCAGCAGGCTGCTTCGTGGCTCCGTTGTGCAATCTCTTAGATTGGCAAGCCAGACCCATCCCTGACCGTCTTTTAACGTCTGACTGGAAACCATAGAAAACCTCAGAATTTCTTTCAATCTAATCTTGGGAGACCTAGGTGAACCTTTGTGGATCCTTATCCTCACCACCCTCTATGAGTCCTCTCCTGCTCGGCCCCTCACCTCAGGTGACGTCAGAGCCAATCCTACAACTGAATAGTCCTCAGGGAGGCCATGGCCAGCACACCTCCCCAAGATAAAGAAAGGGGAATAGGCTACCACCTCACATGTAGTCTCCCCAGTGCTCTTCTTTAGAACTTCTCCATCTGCCTCCCGATTCTCTTCATAAAGACCACCCAGTGTGGGCCTCAGCAGAGCCTCCATGTGGATATGGAGCAGGGAGAGTCTACCATTTGGGGTGGGATCTTTTTCCATTGAACTGGGTGCTACAGAATACACTCTCCTTTGTCCTCAGCCACGAGCAGTTTCCATGAAACCCAGCACTTCCAGCCACTCTTAGAATGGGAGACTGTCCCCAAAAAAGACGTAAAATCATCTTCTTGTATGATATGCATTTAGGGGCATGCTACACATTCATTATATCCATAGTTTCCTTACCAACTGTTTTTGATTATTTCCAGTATTCTAGAGTGAAGCCCATAGTGACACCACGTTTTTCCCTTTCCTGCTCTGAGACTCTGATGAGTGAACTTGGAAACATCGCGAAGACCCATGATTTGCACATTCAGGTGGGCGTTTTTCTCCTGTTTGTGCCTCTGTCCAGCCTTGCAGAACTTCTCAGTACCCTAAATTCTGGCAGTAATCTCCAATTTCCTACTGAGATCTCCTAGAGATACAGTATCATAGGACAGGAAGGGCCCTTTTGGAAGCCACCTAAATCCAATTCTTTAATTTTTCATTAAGAAACCTGAAGTTCCTTTTACCCTCAACCTTCTCTGATCTGGCTTTGAGAGGTGAGGACATCGTAAGTAACCAAGCAAGATCAATGATAAACTGGTTACCTATTCTCTGTAGATAATTTAATGCATTTCTTTTCTGCTTCTCTTTTATTTGATAGTTTCTCAGTGTTCTAGTCCTTCATTTTTGGAGGAACCACTTATAATTTGAAAAGCAAAAAGAGCCTAATTTCTACCTTACAAAAATGCATTTAAAAGCCCTTTTGTGCCGAGTTTCTTAATTTAAAATCAGGAACAAAAACGTATATCTTACTTTGTCATTAAGCAGTTGCAATGTAGAAATAAAACACTTTTTAAAGCTTCCAGCTGGGTTAAAATTGGGAGCTGGGAGCTCCTCTTCCCCCATCCAAGCATCATTACATAGCGCACTAAAATTTTCTCTCTTGTGAGTTGACTATCTTACAACAAAGGGCAAGTAAGGAGAAAGGCAACACATTGACTCTTTCCGTTTTGTAGGGTGGAAAGTGTTTCGTTTGTTTGTTTTTTAAAGATTTATCTTCTCAGGGCTCATTAACTGTTCTTATCTTTCTCCATTTTATTTTTGTGGTTGTGGAAGTTTTGATCTAATCCCACACAATTGTAGGGGAGGAAAACATTTTCCTTGGCCCTCTTAGGGTCTCCGGCTGGGTCTGAAAATTAAACTGATAAAGACAGATTTACAGGAGAAATGTATTAAATACAAGTTTTACGTCACAGGGAGCCTTTGTAAGGAAATGAAGACCCAAAGGAACAGTTAGACCTGAGTATTTCTATGCTCGATTTGATGGCGAGTGCACAGTGGTGGCAGACCATGGTAGGTGGAGGACTAGGAGGGAAGTGTAGTAAGTGGGAAACTTAGTAAGGCCTGCTTATTAGGATTCTTCTGAGTGTCCTCTTGTGTTCAGATATAAGGATGCTCCTTTCCTCCCAGTATAGGGCGGGCACATCTCACAGGAGGGTTTTATGACCTGTTTCAGGGGAGAAGGGTAAGGAACATCAGCATGACCTTCCTGCTTCTGCTGTTTTCTCAGCCTCCTTCAGCTTAAAATATTCAATGTGCCAAGGTGCCATATTTTGAAATGGTGCATCCTGAACCCCATCAACACACAACAAAATCAAGTATATCCTTGCTGGGGGTGTATGTATGTGTGGATATGCGTTTACTCAAATTTATCAAAATGACACGAATCATCTGGTCGTCTTTTCTTCTCTTCTGACGTCCATGCATTTCTTCAGTGGTCTGGATTTCCTCAAGGCCAGGTATAGAGCTCATCCTCTAAGTGGAATACTCTGGTTTTAGAACATTGTTCTTTTTCCTTTTATTTATTTGGCTATGCATACTCTTCCTCATGGAGACAGGGAAATGGCATTGCCATTCTTGGAAGTGGTGACTTGCTCATGAGTTATTTTCCATAATATATGCTCATCACTATTTGGTCTGAAATTATTTTTGTTTTAGGCTAGGGGTTGGAGTGGTCACACTAAAGTGTCATGTCTCAAAAACACTTTATGCTGTAGGGGAGGAAGAACTATTCCTCTACCCTCTAGGTCCTTCTGGCTGGTCTAAGAATTAAATTGACATGAGACAGATAACAGGAGAAAATCAAAGTTTAATAATATGTATACATGGGAGAAACCCAGGAAATCTGAGTAACTCACCATAATGGCTGAAGCCACCACCTTAAATATCATCTTTAGTTAAAGATAAAGGAGGATGTTGGGGGTTGTGCTTTGGATTCCTTTGGCTATTTGGGGTCTTTTGTTGTTCCATATAAATTTTGGGATTCTTTGTTCTATTTCTGTGAAAAATATCATTGGAACTTTGATAGATAGTGAGGGGTAGTGGTTTGGGACTTCAAAGAGGAGGAAAGCAATTTACATGGAGAAGGAAAAGCAAATGTTTGATAAACAGATGTTTGCTGGGCCATCTATAGACAATGTGACTGGAGAGAGAACTTTGATAAAAATGGGCCTAGCAAGATTCCTCCCAGTCTGCCACACCTAGAGTCATCTATGGTGATAGCTCCTTCCTGGGACAGGCCTTCCATCTTAAATTCTCTTAGGCAGTTAGGGGGAAGGTCAAAGTTTCTTTCTGAATCTTTTGTTCCTAAAAATAATCATGCCAGAGAGACACATTTTGGGGTCGCAAATTCTGACCCCCCACAATGCCCTCTCAGGTTTTGTGGTGCCCTGGAGAATGGTTGGTGTGGGGGTCAGGACTCACTTGTTTTGCTCGCATGTGGATTCTTATGGGCTGTTTCTTAGTGACTAGTTCAGTTATTTTCAAACTGTTTTCTGCAGAAGAACTCATTCTGGAAGCCAGCAAAGGGAACAGAATGGAGACAGGGTCCCAGAGTCCCAACCCTGCTTCATCCTGAGAAGTAACTTATTAATGCCTATTATGTAGTGGATTTCTATGAATTTTTATATGAATAACATATCCAAAGCTAAAAGAATTTGGAAAATCACTCATCTAGCCCAACCCTTTTATTTGAGAGATGAGAAAACGGCCCAAAGAAAAGAACTGGCTCGCCCAAAGACACATAACTAGGGTCAGAACTTAGGCTAGATTTCAGCTCTCTTTATTCAAATTCCAGTTTTCTTATGAGTGAACCATGCTGTGTGTCCTTTTGATGGCCACTGAACTCTTTTCTTAAACTCCCGACACCAGAAGAGACAGGTAATAACCAATAGCTAGGCTCCTGACTCTCTTCAAGGAGTATTTTTATTTTTATTTGTTCTTGCTATAGTTTGGAATTTCAAAAGACTTTGTTGGAAGACTATTACATGGGTTAGAGTTAGAACATTACATGTTCATAGCTTCTTTGTTGTATATATGTGACATTATATATATGATATATATAATTGTTTTAAGTAAAACACATGTACAATCTTTGTTGTCTTTCTGTTTGGTCCCTTATATAAGCAAGTAGAAACCATCCATATCATTTTGAGTTTGGAAATATAATTTTTAATGGTGTTTTACATTAAAAAATTGAAAATATTATTTCTTTTTTTGTAGAGCCATATAAGTGAAAATCGTGATGAAATGGAAGCTGTGAAAAACTTATATCCCAGTTATAAAAACTACACAGATGTGTATGACAAAAACAATCTTCTGACAAATAAGGTAAATTGCATATCATGACATAATCTGTGTAAAGTAGGGCATATTTATCTAAATTTTAAAATCTCAGTAATAATCTTCAGATTTCCATGGCATGCGTGCATTTCCCAAACTAGAGTAAAGCGCAGCATGTGCATATGTGTGTATATATAGTTACAAATGGGCCTGAAGTTTCATCCTGGTAAATAAATCTGAAGGCCTCATTGAGGGTGTGGGAATGTCTTTTAGTCCAAGGACATTTTGTCAGCATCCGTTAGAATGTAAACGTGCATTTCTTTGAATTAGCAGATGCATTTCTAAGGATCCATTCTGTAAGGAATATGAATAGGGATATTAATTACATATGAAAGTTAAAAAATGGCTATCAGTGGGGGATTGTTTAGATTATAGAACATGCATGATTAGAATTTTGTCCTGCATTCACAAAGAATGAGATATACAGGCTTGCAAGGAAGAATGTACAATATTGTTTGATGTATGTGTATATACGTGTGGGTGCATGCTCACTTAGGAAAAATTGCCTGGAAGACACACATTAAATGTTAAAAGTGATTCTTCCTGGGGGAGAAAACAGAGGGACTTTTTATTTTTTATTTTTAAACACTCTGAGATTGCTTTTTTAAAAAAATGAGTTTGTATTGTTTCTTATAATTAAACAATTTTAAGTTAATTAAAATTAATGTGAGTGAGGAGGGACCTCATTACAATGAGATACCCCTTGGCCTGGGCCTTCGTGAAATGTACAAACTGCATGGAGAGTTTAGCTACTGCAGCAAATAAATTCTTAGGGACTATGTGAATGGAGATGTGAATCTGACTAATTTAAAAGGTTAATACTCTCCTAAATCTTGTAAATGCTACACCATAATTTTCATCCTCCTTTACATATATTTCCATATGATTAATAAATTAACTTTCAGTTGGCATGTTAATTTTATTTGCACAGAGATTGGGAAAATTTTATTTTAATAATAATTCTATGGTCACTGAACCATGCCTCCCAAAAGTGAAAGCTATTTAGATACAGGTTTTGTACTGAGGGAAAAAGAATTTTGAAAGAGTAAAGTCTTATTCATGAAAACCCACAAATATTACCAAGACTAAAAATTAAGAGAAGTTTTTATGTGTGCAGTGCCTCCCTTCTTGGATCGATTTTACCTTCTGAATTAATGCTTATAAGATATCACATTTCCTGATTTTTATGAAACAGTAAATATAGGTGATAAAATAAAGTTTATTTGGTTATATGTGTCAAGACCATTGGTGCCTATATTTAATAACGAGCAGCAACAAAGAATAGCTCTTTGCAGGATCGCTCCCATAGCTTCCATGTACTGAGAAAGGAAAGCTTGCTTCTAGAAAGTTCTGATTAGAATCGGAACGAGCACAGCTTCACCAGTTGCTCATGCTGTAGACTTAGAAAAGACGGTAACTTGGTTATTTTTTAAAATGGAGATGAAGGAATCACAATATCTTCCAACTGGATGGATATCCTATGCGTTAGGTCACCTGGACCAACCCTCATTATTTTATAGATTAAAAAAAACAACGTGAGGTCCACAATTTTGCAAGGCTTTTGTAATCCAATGTTCTTACAGGCCTCTTTTTAGGTGTAATTTGTATGCAGTGATTTTATACGTACAGGTAATCGTAAATGTTCTTGTGAAGATGCTAACAGACAAGTCACAGCTTGTATCTGTACCTATAATATCTTATTGTGAGTAAGGACTAACTTAAGCATTTTTAAGTGGTAAACTCCACATGGGACACTCTTCTCTCTAGACAGTGATGGCACATGGCTGCTACCTTTCCGCAGAAGAACTGGATGTATTCAGAGAACGAGGAGCATCGATCTCACATTGTCCCAATTCTAATTTATCGTAAGTAGGCAATAATTGATTGGTAGATTGTGAATGACTGGGTTGCAAATTAGCAGCCAAATGCCTTTGTTTTCTCAGCCATTCCTCCAGTATCTCTCTTCTGTAGTCATGTTTGATTGGGACGGGGACTAGATAGACTGACACCTGTGCTGTGGTGGGGAGAAAGAGAGCACTTAAAAGAGGATATTTTTTGCAGAGTATGCGTTTGAAGAGCACAACATCTCTTAAAATTTCCGAGTTTTCACAAAACAGGACAATAGGAAATACAACAGAAAGAGTTCAAAACCAATAGCATTTGGAATTTACAGCTAAGGACTGAAAGGGCGCACACGCCAGCCAGGTGCTCCAGGGAGAGGGTACTGACTTCCTGTTACTTTGTGCTGTACAAACTACCAGAAATGGCGCAGTGCAACTAGAAGCCAATGCTCTCAGTGTATGTCATAGTGCTGAGTCTGACAGTGTCAGTTCACATAAGAGGGACCTTGTCCTATTGTAATTTTCCAGAATGCAAAAGCTTTATTTATAGCTGGTTCTTAACCTTTTGAAAGGTTATAGATCCATAAGTGAATCAGATGAAAGTTATGATCTATGTCTTCAGAAAAAAAGCCTATATGTATAAAAAAAATCTAATTTAAGAGAATTCATAGATCCCATGATGCTGATCCATGGATGCTAGCTTAAGAATCCATGCTCCAGAATTACATACAGAAAGGGTCTCTCATTTCTAGTGCTAGTTAATCCAGAGCAGAGCTCCTCCTGCTTGGAGGCAGGTTGGGGTGGATCATTCATATATTCATTCAACAAATTTATTTAGCTTCTGTTAGATTTTAGTTTTTTTGAGGGTTACTTGATATTCTCTTGTTTTGGGTTCTTGCAGAAGCAGACCATGAGACAGGATTTGTGCATAAGTAATTTATTTGGGAGGTGATCTCAGGAAATACCTTTAGGTAGGTAAGACAGAGAAGGGAAGAAAGTCAGTAAAGAGTGCATCATCAACCAAGTTACCACCGTGAGCTCCTGGAAAACTCGGGGAGCTGGTGTGCAAAACAGACCTCCAAGTTATCCTGCCCAAGGAGTGGGGGAGCTGGGGTAGTTTACCCCAGTTATATTGGTGGAGGACTGCTGAGTAGGGGTGAAGGGGCGTTAATCCCGTAGAGCTTCTGACCTTCCCCAAACAATGGCAGAGCAGGCTCTAGCAGCTAAAGAGAGTCCCCGGTAAAGAGTTGGAGGTGCGGACAGTTGGAAGTCTAGGGACTTTGCCAGTGAAAAAGGTGTACCTCAGTGGCAGTATGAGAAAGACATGAGAGCCACAGTGATATATTTCTGAAGTGTTTTGAGAGGTTCCAGAGGCTTCTAGTTTACATACTGCTATAAAGTAGTCACACATGACAGAGAATCTTGCCTATGTACAGCTTACTGACCATAATTATGGTCTAGTGACCACCTAGAGAAAAGGATTTAACATCCCTTGGGTTTGAAGTTAGGTCTCTTTATGGATATATTTCTGTTTAAATGGTCATTGCTGTTCTTTCTCCAACAACTTTGAGAGCTTTATTGCATGTGCACTGTGGCTTTGAAAATTACAATTATGTGAGTCTTTGAGCAGACCACTATGACCTTTGTGTCTTCTCAGACTTCTAAGGATCACTTTAGTTTTCCTGTTTCTTTAGAGAGGGAGCATATCTCTTAAGCTCAGGGTCATGAGGTCCGGAATTCAGCACAGGAACCATCTCTCCTACTTGCCGTCCTCAGAGGCAGAGTTTGAACTGTCAGCCTTGACTCACCAGCCTGTGCCCCCTTTTCCAGTTGTGCCCCCTTTTCTTTGATCTTGCAAGTTCCTACTCATTCAGGGTAACAAATTATTCCAGACAGAAAGGAAAGGCAGTGTTTATAATTTCTACTTCTTAGTATAGATGGATGGGTTGGTTGAAAAAAGATTAAAGACCTATAGTTGATAACACTGTATTGTATAATTGAAATTTGCTAAGAGAGCAGAACTTAAATGCTCTCACCAAAAAAAAAAAAAAGAAAAAAGTAAGTATGTGAGGTGATGGATGTTTGATTAACTCATTGCGGGGAATGCTTTCACAATGAATTCGTATAGCCAATCATCACGTCGTAGACTTTAAATATCTTACAACTTTATTTGTCAATTATACCTCAATAAAGCTGAAAAAATATAAAAATTCATAAGACTTTTGAACTAATTGTAAAATTTAATTTCTTCATTTATTTTTCTTTACAAATGGTTCCCTGCTTTCCCTTCTGGCTCTTGCTGCTTTGTACCCTCCTGAGATTAACTTCAGCCTAAGCATTTAGAGCCCTTTATGACCATTTTTTTCCTCCAGGACTCAGATGGTCTGACTTGAGTACTGTGTTTGGTCAGCATTAGAGCTGATGTGACCGGAAACACAATTTCCCGGGATAGCACCATCATTGTTGTTGGTGTCCTTCTCTTGTTGGAACCAGCTGGGTCTCCTTGTTCTGACTCTCTCCTCTCTCTACAGGATCAGCAGTGGCTTTCTCAATGTGTTGGAAGTCCTGGACCATGATGTGAAAATAGGGCTGGGTACAGGTTAGTAGTCGCCATTCGGAGCCATGGCAAAGTGGTCGATTATGTGCATAACTTTCTAATGTGACTAAATTTTCAATAACAGTTCTCTGTTAAAAAAACGTTAGTTTTATTATCTGGTAGTAATATCTTGAGCTAATAAAATAGTGAGGGTGGAAGCAGTAAGATGATGTATGCAAAGGGAAAAGTGTTGATAACACTCCTGAAAGCCATTATGCACGTTTACTGTTGAGAGACTGGGATATAAAGGATAAGTCCTTCTCAAGCGTTTTAGACATTCTTTTTAAAAAGTCCTTGATTTTTTTTCCCTTTTGTTTTGTCCTTCTGACTAGGTTTTAATGGTTTAGATTTGTATATTTATAGTTTTCAATAACTGTGTCATCACAAATACAGTCTCAAAAGAAAATTACTTGACCTTGCCATTGTGAGCACAAGTTTAGTCCATCAGAACTCTGAAATATGTTAAGAACTTGCTTTGCTTTTAAGCAGTGTTTAACAAAATGAGATTCCAATTCCCACAGGCAGTCTGATGTTTGCTAGGCTGAAGGACTTTCTAGGTGGCTGATAAATTAGTGATGTCTCCTTTTTTTCACAGTACATTTTAATTGTTTTTCTTGAGTGTGTGCAGTGCTGCTCACTTTGAAAGTGTGCATCAGGCCTAAATGTCTAGGTATATATACTGCGAACCTTCTTTTATTGCTGTGTGAATGAACTAAAATTTTTTAAAAAACAGGTGCAGGACATCAGGATGCATTTGTCTTCTTATTTAAGAGCATCAGGATGTTTGCATATTGACAATGATGGTTTTCATCATTTTCTGCAATAACTTAAGTCTCAATTAATTTTATACGAAGAAATATTAGTAAGACATACAATAATACAAAATGATATATTTATATTTTTAAAGAGGTGTGCTAGGTTAGAAGTTTTTCCCAATTTTACATGAATCAAAGGAATTAAGTTTTTTTTTTAAATTCTAATTTAAGCCTTGAATCATTAAGATTGTGTGATATCTAGATAAAGTCACAAGTATTGAGGCAGGAAACCAGTTGCTTTACTTCACTGAAGAGCTTTAATGGATAAGAAAAAAATGGCCAAGAGTTTTTGTTACACACTATAGTTAATTAATGAAAAATTTAGCAGACATATAAAAATCAGGTAGCTATTGCTTTCAAATTTTCTAGAATTTTGGTCTCCGTGATTTAAATTCATCACATGACTTTCAGTTCTTGACTTTGGGGTGTATAGTGATGGCCTAAAACGTTTTGGTAATGCTCTAACTGTCATTTATCAGCTGTACGACCTTGAGCAAATTACCTTAATTTTCTAAGGCTTCATTTTCTAATTTCTATAACAAAAACAACAACAATCATAACAATGTCTATCCTACAAGCTTGTTTTAAGGCTTAAATGAAAAAAATGCACGTGAAGTGGTTAGCATATACCTGGCACCTTGCACTAGTCAATAAAGATTGGCTTAAAAGGGAAAGAGCAACGTTAGTATATTGACCAAATGTTTGGTTAGATATAATGTATTTGCTTATTAATTTGGAGAATGCTATTTATTGCATTTTTACATAGTCTCTGTTGCAACAGCCACCTGTTGCACTATTTCTTAAACATGGCCTTTATATATTAACTTGCCCTTCCCCTGTAGACTTCAGAAGATTATTTAACCTCATACTATGGACAGAGAGCAGGTCCAAGGGCAGTTCATTCACCCTGTCTATAACAAGTGGAGGCAGATCTGTACTTGCTCAAGTATTAGAGAGGAGAAACCTATTGAAGCGTCATGAAAATATTGCAATATAAGAGAAGGCAGTATCAAAAAGAATAAGAGGATGGGCTTATCTCTGAAAATGATCTACTTCAGGATCCAGAAGAAAATTTCAGAAAATTGCCATCAACTTTGGAGTACAAGAAGACATGGCGCTATGAAAAGACCACAAGTTGTGATGGAATAGGAAATTTTAAAAATGAAAGAAGAAAACTGAAAAAGAAAAAAAGATTGAGAAGCATGTAATTGCTCGTATACTGCTGGAGGGAGGGTAAATGGTAAACACTTTTGAGAACTGTTTCGCAGTTTCTTATGAAGTTAAATATGCATCTACATATGGCCCAATAATTGCACTTTGGGGTATTTGCCCTAGAGAAATGAACACGTATGTTTGCAAAAAGAGTTGTACAAGAATGCTTATAGCAGCTTTATTCGTAATAGCCAAAAACTGGAAACAATCCAAATACCTGCCAACAAGAGGATAGATAAGCAAATTGTGGCATATTCAATGGAATGCTACTCAGCATTAAAAAAAAGGAACAAACCACTGATATTGCAAAACATGGATAAATCTCAAAAATATTTTGTTAAGTAAAAAAAGCCAGGCACAAAAGAGCACATACTGTATGATTCCACATGTATGAAATCCCGACAACCGAGCTAACCTATGTTGACAGAAGTCAGAAAGTGGATGCCAAGGGGTGGAGGTGGGAAGGGAAATTGACTGGAAAGGGCCATGAGGGAACTTGCTGGAGTGATGGAAATGTTTAATATCTTTTTTTTTGGAAAGGTAGTTAAATGGCTATATACAATTATTAGCATTCATCAAACTGGACACTTGAGTTCCATGCATTTTATGATATCTTAATTATACCTCAATTAAAAAAACAACAAACAAACCATGTAGGAAGCTATGGGAAGTAGAATTATTGTTGCAGAAAATTAAATCAGTGATGCAGAGAACAAGGTTGACCACAGATCAAAGGGGGTGTTTGAGAAGGATCCACATGGAGAACAGAAAGCATAGCACCAACCCATGAAATCTTCCTGACCAAGGATCCAGGACAATTAGAGCAGAAGCAATAATCAGAGCTTTGAAGGGTAAATCTATTCTGAGTTTAAGAAAGAACTGTGTATTATATCGAAAGGACTTACCCCATTCGAGGCTAAATCATAACTAAACATATTGTGGCAAAATATTTGAATTACAAAGAAAAATTTTTAAAAAGTCCTAGAACAGTGAGTCAGGGAAAAAAGTCAGTTATCAATAAAACAGTTAAAAACTAGTTTGGTTTCAGGTGTTTTGCTGTCACGCAAAATATCAAGACCAAGAAAGAGTTTTGGAGGCAAAGTAGTTGTTATTTAAGAATATTGTATCAGACCAGATGCTCCCTCATGTGTGAAGGCAACAAAATTCTCAGATGTACACAGGTTTGGATAATATTCTCCCCATGAACCTTTTGAAAAAAATGACTTGAAAATCTACATCACCCAATGAGTGATGAGGCAAAATGAAGGGCCATGGTAAAGTAATGGTACAATAGGCTGTCAGGGAGGGCTGAAATCAGTTAAAATAGAAATCAGATCAAAAAATGTTAAAGGAGTTTAAAAAATGAAAGCATGTTTTTTTTTAAATCTCAAGATATATTTAATGTTAAAAATAATATCTTTAAACAAAAACTAATCAGGCTATGAACCTTAAATTGCTCAAAAAAATAAAGTCAATAAAAAACAACAACAAAATCATATAAACATTAAAAAGTTCAAAATGCAACATAAATCAAGAAGGTGTTTCCCTCTGGTTGGGAAGAGGTTCCTGTGACCTGAACACATGATACTTAATTTTGAAGCCGAGTATCAGGTACCTTGAGTTTTGGTGTTACGTATTCTTTATATCATTTGAAGGTCTTCAATATTTTATTGTAAATTTTAAAAATAATATATGCTCTGCAAAATAACTTTCCAAGTACTAAAAATTCTTCTATTTTCTGATTTTGTTAACAGAAACCAGGATGTTGTGATTTGTATGTAAGGTTGAGTGGATGAAGATATATTTGGCAAGTGGGAGCAAAATTAGAAGTGTATAAAATCTTGTCTCAGAAAAAGGGGACATAGCAAATAACCACAAAACAGTAATCTGAAGGAAAAAATTAAAGTATGGGACAAGTTTACATCAACAAGACCTACAAATTCATTGAAACTAACGACATACATGGGACCAGTGTCCCACTTTCTAGCGACAGTTTCCTAGCCTTCTAACTTTCTTGTTCCATTACTCCCAAAGCAACAATTCTTTGATCAACTTGTAGACTCCAATCCAGTGATTCCATGCTTGCTTGAATTCCATTATTCCATTCCTAATTTACCCATCTTAGATGCCAGAGTACATCACTATAATCATTCCCTCAGGAACTTCCTCATTTCTCATGTCCCTCTCGTTTTCCTTATATTCACTTTGCAAAAGCCCAACCCAACTATTCCCCTTCTCAGTGTCCACAGCTGAGCAGCTAGAAGTTGCTGGAAAAAAATTCTCTAGTGGGGTTTCATTTTAAATTTTGCTCTCAAATCCCAAATGGCCCTCAGCACTACCCAAATAGACAATTATGTTTCTCTAATAGGCATATCGTCCCATATTCAAAGACAGCCTTTTCTTATTTCTTTCTTAACTTTCTACTCCAACTCCCACCCTCCTCACTTCTAGCTGATGGCTTCATCTCATAAGTCATTTAGGAAATATTAACAATCAAAAACCCTTCCCTCATCTTCGCACCACCAAATTTACACCTTCCAGCATGTGCCTGCATTTTCCCTTTTTTTTCCTGCTACAGCTAAAAAAAGAAAAAGTCTCTTCACCAAAGGCAAAAACCAAAATGCCCTCTGGAGTGTTCTGTATTTTCTCCCTCTCCCAGTATCCTAATAAAGTAATTCCGTTGGCCACCGACTCTCTTGCATCATGATTATCTCCTCCCTACTGGATCATTCCTATCAGCACAGAAACATTCTCTAGTATCTTCTGATCTTTTAAGCAAAGATACAAACAACACCTCTCTCTCTTAATCAGACAACCCCCTCTGGTTCCTGCGCCACCTCTCTGCTCCCCTTCACGGCAAAACATCTTCAAAGAGTGAGAACCTCACTGCCGTCACGTTCTAGGCACTGGTCAATTCCTCTGCCACTTCAGTCTCGCTTCTTGCCCTACCCTTCAGGGTAACTATCCTTGTCCTTTCTCCCCTGGCTATTACCACTGTGGTCTCTTTGGTGCCAACTCCAAAGGATGCCATTCTGTCCTTAACGGAGTGGACTTATGAGTAGTATTTGCCGTGATTGACCACTCTTTCCTTTGTCCAAACAATCTTATCTTGGATTCAGTGAAACAACACTGTTCTAGATTTCCTTCTTCCTGTCTTGTCAGCCATTCTTTCTTTTCTCTGGGGGGTCCTTTCTCCTCTCCCTGGACATTCAAAAGCTTTTTTCAAGGTTCGGTCCTAGGCTCTCTCCTCTTTTTATTTTACACTTTCTTCTTAGGAGACATCATCCATACCTTGGCTTCACATGATTATATATCTGCAGATGACTCCAGATTTTTAGATCCAGCCCAGACTCCTTGTTTGAATTCCAAACATGCATTTTCAATTGCTTACTTTCTCCTGCCCTTTTGACCCCTCCTCATAGAACCTTGAACTTCATTATATTCCAAAACACATTTAAGCCTAGTTCTCTTAAATGGCTCTCCTTTTCAGAGTTTTCAATATCTCAATGTCAAAATTTGATCATTGTCTTTGGGACCTTCCGTTACATCACCTTCTCCCCCATGTCTAAGCGAGTACAATGTCCAACCTCCTGACTCCTGAATATCTCCTGAATCCATCCTCTTTTCCCATATCAGCACCACCATCCGATCCAAGCTGCCATCATTTCTTGCCTGAACTCCTGCACTAGCTTTCTAATTGGTCTCATATTGATCCTGGATCCTTCCAATCCACAGTCTTCTCTTTTCAAAAGAATCACAGTGAAAATCTGACCATTTCACCCTCTCCTGCTTACCACCCTTCAGTGGGATTTTGAATATGCAAACTTTGTTACAAGGCTAACAAAGCTCTGCGTGGTTTGGCACCCATCCACCTCCCAGCCTCATCCCGCACTACTCTCTCCTCTCTCCACTGGCTGTCTTTTAATCCCCTCTATGCATCGCATTCCCTTCTTCCAAAAGACCTTTGTGTATTCTGTTGCTCTGCCTGGAGTGCCCTTTATGCCTTTCTTTACATGGCCGAGTTCTCATTCCAGTCTTAGTTTAAATGTCATTGCCTTAAAGAAGTCTTCTCTGGACATCCTGTCTAAATGGGCTTTCCACCTCCATTTTCTCTCTCACTAACTCAACACAATTTATAGTTAATATTTGTTTGTTTATATGCCTCCTTTCTTTGTCCTCCACTAGAGCCCATAGGTTTTATTTATGAGTGCTTAGATAAATCAAGCACATAGAAGCTGCCCAGTAAATGATTGTCAATAAATGAAAGAATGCGTAAGAAATAAATACACACATATAAAATCATTTCCTTTTATCTTTCCATTGCCCTCTGGCTCAAGAGTTTACTCTTTAGAGTCTTCTTGTAAATAGTAGTGTCCTTATGTTGACTCTGGCATGCAAGTGATAGTGCCATTCTTTACCACGATGGTAGAGGGGCATGGGGTTGGGAATAGATTTTCTGAGGAAATGTATCCATTTTCTTCCCTCCACCATTCCCCCATGCAGTTTCCATCCTTTGATCTTCATTCCTCAGCACTTACATTATTTAATTGGATTTTCTCAGCAACTGTTAAGATAGGTGATGTTATTTCTATTGTCTGAGAAAATTGAGGTTCACAGATACTAAGTAACTGACCAAAAGTCAACAAAGCAAAACAATTCCAGATCCCAGGTTAAAACCAGGTCAGTAAAATGTGAAGTTCATTATTTCTCTTTCTACCCCATCACACTGCCTTTTGTTATATAGTAAAGTAGGGATTCTGCCTGCACTAAATGTGTTACAGAGGGAGAAGGAAGCCACTGAGCTCACCGGGCAAGGTGGGATCTGGAAGTTACTATCACAATGGAAATCCCTGGAAGAAAAGCTTGACTCTTAACACAAATGGGCCTGACTAAAACCGTGGTTCGTGTGGTCTAAGGTTCATTCTTTAATCTGTCCGGTATTGTTCCTTCATTGGAAGTTACCTCATTAACGTAACAACCGGAAGAATACAGGATGATTAAATCATCCTATAAGTCAGCAACATAATAAGACAGCTCTCAAAATTTTCTCAATAAATTGCATAGCATTGTTTCCTAACCTATCTTTATTCTTTCTATAAGGATAGTTTTGATTAGATATTGAGGAAAAGACTACTTTCTGTACCTGTTCTTATAACCCCACGTATTTAAATCTTCCGTATTCACACCATCCTAATGGGTTTGCTCTTGTTTTTCCGTGTTTTTGTCCACATATTTTGAAATATATCTTCCATCTTTACATGTTTCCATATCATACGGTGACAGCATTTTTATTCTGCCTTTACATTTAACGTATTCTTTGTTCTAGCAATAAAGAAAGAACCAGTAGACAAAGTATTTCAAAGCTTAATGTGCATTATTCCCACATCTCACTTGTTTTCTTAGTTTGATGGCATGGTAAAATGAAAGTTTAATGGATGGTTACTAAAATGGATTAATAGCTTAAGAAGATGTAATAAAACTTGTCAAGGAAATGTATGATCCTCTGGCAATACTGTTCTGGGTTGAAGAAAAGCATTTTCTAAAAAAATTCCATCCAAGTTTATCTAAGGACATGGAAGACAGTTGAACCTAAAATTGAACTGCAACTAGGATTGTTACTTAATAGGCTATTACTTTTGATCTTTGCAATATATATAGGCGGTAAGAATTATATATGTCTACCTAGAAATGACAGAAGGAATCCTTGAAATACAAAGTGTATTTTATTAGCTATAGATGTACTTTTCCTTTAATAACACATGCTAACTTGCTTGACATTTATTTATATAAACTCATTTAATAACTTCTACATTAGTTCTCGTCAAAGGTAATATTTCAGTTTAGTTATGATTAGGGACTTTATTTAAGTCACTAAAAATCTCATTCCTCATCTAATGATGCCAACCAACATATAAAGCTGTCTACATCAGCATTGTTCATTTATTACACTGGTTTTCCAGGATACATAAGTTCATTTTAAAAGCTCTTCCTGAAAAATTATCATAAAGAAGTGGCTTTCTAATTCTCAAAGTTCTCATCTGAATTGGAATAGAGTTAGGATAAGTTTTTAGAGCATAGAACTGTGAGCTTATTTTAAATCTCATATTATGTTATCTAAATTATCTTTATAACTATGCAGGCATATTTGACCAATTTCTGTGAGATTTTAGGGAATAGGTATTTGGCAAGTGGGAATAGGTAAGAGTTTCTTCTTTTAACTTTATTAACCATCTGGGCATTGTACTGAGTTGAATTGTGTCCCCCGCCCAAAAAAAAGATATTTACCTGGAACATGTAAATATGCCTTTCTGTGCAATAAAGGTCTTTGCAGATGTAATTAAAGTAAAGATCTCAAGAAGAAATCATTCTGAATTAGGGTAAGCCCTAAATCCAATGATGAATGTCCTTATTAAGAAACAGAAAATGAGTGACACATAAAGACACAGAGGGAAGAAGGCATTTGCAGGTAGAGGCAGATATTGGAGTTATGCAGCCACAAGCCAAGGAACACTGGGAGCTGGAAAAGCAAGGAAAGATTCTTCCCTAAAGCCTTTGTAGGGATTGTGGGCCTGCTGACACTTTGATGTAAGACTTCTGCCATCCAAAACCGTGAGAGAATAAATTTCTGCCGTTTTAAATCACCAAATTTGTGGTAATTTGTTGCAGCAGCCATAGGAAACTAATACAGGTGCACATTTGATACTAATTTAAATTGATTTAAAGTTTTAAATTCCTTTAAATGTTAATCTGTGTCTATTCTGTGTTTATAGATAAGATCTTTTTTTTTTTTAAATATGGTAAGACTGATATCTGTCACTAAAAACAAAACAAAACAAAAAACCCCTTATATACCTAATATTCCATTTATCTCATAAGGTTACTGTTTTGGCTTTATTTTATCTACTATAGATGTGGCTGGTGGTTATTCATCTTCCATGCTAGATGCAATCAGAAAAGCAGTGATGGTTTCCAATATCCTTTCAATTAATAACATAAATGCGAAAAGCCTCACCCTCAAGGATGTTTTCAGACTAGCCACTCTCGGAGGCAGCCAAGGTAATGACTATTTTATTTCTCTCTGGAACAGTGTTACAACCGTGCCAATCTGTGTCCTTGGATGCAGTATGAAGGCATGTGATATGGCATCAGCGGACATCCGGTATTCATAACTGTTGCACCTCACATAGCATCCCCGAAACTTCACAAGTAAATTATATGTTTAAGCATGTGGTGGAGGCATCATTCTTTCAGCGAGTTCCCTGTCTTTGGCAGAAGAGATACTAGGTACACAATTATCATATTAATTGTTTTAATGGATATTTGCATTGGCCACATGCATACATGTTCTTTAAAATAATCATTTTTTCCATTGAGTCAAGTGACACGCTCTCTATTGGCCTGAGTGATGATAATAATAACAGTAAAAATAATAGCCAAGTCTTACTTACCATGTGATAGGCACTCTGCAACATGCTTTATGTATGTTGTTATTTAATCCTCACAATCACTGTTATTAATTCCATTTTACCGATAAGGTACCTGAGTGAGGCTTACACAACTGTCAAGCTATAGCGTGCCACGATTTGAATCCAGAAAATCTGATGCCAGAGTGCAGGTTCTTATGCTTCCACTGTGATATCTTCCTGTATAAATCCCAGCTCAGACTATGAATTTTGTTTATATAATTAAGTATGCTAATTACCCAAGCCTCTTTAAAAGGAGAAAGATGTAAAAATATAGTTGGCTGATATGGAAATATTGTTCATCAGCTTTTTCCAGTTCTCAAATGTAACCATATTTTTATGGAAAAAATAGAAAATGGGTAATTGTATTGCTTTCGGTTGCTTTAGTATTATAGTATAATCTGGGTGGATGATAGTGAACATAGCATGAAACCTTCGATAGCTAGTGAGAAATAAAAACATAGATATAGAGACAGATAGAGATATTTATATAGATTTACCCTAGATACCCTGGGTCTTAGAAATGGAGGGTGATGGAGGCCAAGGGTATCCTAGGAAGAGAAACTTCCTGGCTCTTCTTTGAATGTTCTGGGCTACGCTGAATGCCATAAAGAACATTTCAAGAAAAACAAGTAGAAGTCGTGCTCTTTGCATTTCCCTAAGTCTTAGGATTTCATTTTCTAAAGTTCCAAGTTCTAAATCACCCATTCTTTTAATGAGTGTGACATTCCCCACCCCCACCCCAGTGTCTGCACATCTGAGTTCGAGTAGATGGCCTGCCATCTTATTTTCATGGTGCAAACGAGTTCCACTTAAATAATGCTTTTTTCATTTTAGGCTTTCTGTGAGTTGCTTCATCAGGATCCTGAGTCTGATCAAGCTGGCATGGGTTGCTTACCAAATCATTTCTACCTTGCTGTAATAGCTTTCTAATCTATTTTCTGGGCCACTGGGTTTACTGGTATGGAATTTCTTCTCCTTAGCTTGTGTCTCTACGAGAGTCTGAGTGACATGAGATGAATGGATCTCTGTGTAAAATGTGGCATCTTCCCAGCTTGCCACGGCCTTGACCATCACTCTCAAGATCAAGATGTGTGTAAATCACCTTCACAGAGGCAACCTTTGCTCCAAAGGCAGCAACACTGCATTTCCTGAAATGCATTTGAGTCACTTACCAGCCCAGCTAGGCCTCCTTGCAATAATCTGAACTTAGATCAGTTTACAAATTCATTGAAAGAAATTCTGTCTTTTTTGGTTAGCTCATGCCTGAACTCTCCAGGTCCTAACAAATAGCCCAGCTAGTTTATATATATCACTCAAACACTGGCAAATGAACCTGGTTATCTGGCCTACTAAACACACAATGATTTTATGTTGAATACAGTCATTAAAGACTCATATTTGTCATGCTTCTTTGTCAAGGGCAAAAGAAGTCGAGTGTAATTGGTGAAGGAGGAGAGAATTTCCAGTGATTTTCTATTACATTCAGTCCTTCCCCATGCAATTAGTAGAACTCATCTAACTGCTTTTAACATTTCTAATTAGTTTTGCACTCCTGTCTTGCTGTAAGAATTCTTTAGAATTCTTTTTCTAAGTCTTTTTCTAAATCTTTTTCTTTTCTGAGCATAAAAGAGTTGCCCTTTAAATAGCCTTTTAAGAACAAGTGGGTTTTCTAAGTCAGTGCTTGGAGAATTGCCAAAAGACTTCTGTATATTCATACGTAGAAATATAATGTATCAGATATTGTCTAACAGGGGTATGCGATCCATTGTTTTCACATCAGACTATATCCTGACAGTGACAGAATACAACAAACACATGTAAAAATTCACATAAATAATGCTGCATCCCAACTGACCTTCCTTTAATGCATGCTTCCATTTGGTACCTCAGTGTACACTCAGTGACTCAGATTACAGGCTTTAAGAAGCTTTAGATTCAATATCTTTATTGACTAGGAAAGCCCATTACCTCCATCTTCTGAAACTAAATCATAAAAATGAAAGATGTTCTTCCTAGGCATCTAATGTTCATGGAACATGAATTCTAGCTATGAGATGGATCAAGTCAATAGACATTATTGACCTATGCCCTGTTTTAGAAATATCATTCTTCTCTGGCAGCCAGAAAATCTTTGAGGTTGCAAAGAAATTGGTCTGCTTTCAAAAACATTGGGACTCTTGAGTTAGGAGGATCTATTTACTTTCAGAAGTGAATTTTTTCTATTCAAAAGATTTAAACTAAGGAATTTCTGATGGATATGCCTGCACTGGCAAATATGCAAAAGGATAATTATTTTTTGTCTATTCAAAGTTCATTTCATTGCCAAGAAAATAGATCTTGTCAGCTATTTCATAGAAGAAAGAGAGCAGGAAGAGGAGTTGGAAAGTTGGGGGGAGCCTAGGAGGGAAGAAGAAGAAAGATATTATGTCAGTCATCACGTTTCTTAGGGGGATGAATGAGACTCATAGACCAGCTGGACTGTGCAGTGCACTGGCAGAGCTGAAACAGAGGGACATCATCAGAATCATGAGCGTGGTGATGGAGGGAACTGTTTTTATTCTCAGATTTTGCTTTCCCTGTACTTACTCTGCTTTCTGTAAGTCAAAGTCTTGTGACCCATTGCAATGAGAGAGCTTTTCTGTTTCACTACTAAGATACTAATTTTTTTCTAGTAACATGTTGCAGATTTTGTCCTTGCAAACTGGGACATTTGCACAGTCTGATGGCTCGAAATATTGACTGTTTATTAATTTATTCCACCCTGTAGCCCTGGGGCTGGATAAAGAGATCGGAAACTTTGAAGTGGGCAAGGAATTTGATGCCCTCCTGATCAACCCAAAAGCATCTGACTCTCCCATTGACCTGTTTTGTGGAGATTTTGTTGGTGATATTTCTGATGTAAGTAAAAGAACGTTAATCGAAAGACATTTATTTCATGAAGTGGTCACAACAGCTTCCCTGTAGGAAAAAAATAGAGACTGAAACATTTTAATGGAATGCAGGAGAATCTTTTAAAGGGAAGCTAGGTCCTTTTAAGTTGTTATAATTTCATGACACTAATGTTAACAATAATGATATTAACAAAGTATTTGTATTTTGAATATATTTGTATATTTGAATGTATTTGGCTAAAAGAAGCCATAATATAGTTAGCACTTATTGAACACACAATGTGCTAGGTGGCATGAGATTAAGTACTTTCATACATCATTTTTGTTTAATCATCAAGACAACTCTTATGAGAGGTAGGCACTGTTAATATTGCCATGTAATTTATGGAGCAGTGAGTCTTCAGGGAGATTAAATGATCTACCTAAGGACTCATGGCTAGTAATTAGTAATTAGTAGACAGAGTTTGCATTCCAGCCCAGGACTTTCTGACTTCCAGAATCTGGCCTCTTGACCATAATGCTACATTGATTTTCTTAATTATAAGAAAACGAGTTTCATTACTTTGTTTCTCTTATAGAATGTTTTCCTATGTATAAAATAAACTGGTTCTTCTTACTTTAATGACAATTCTTTATAAGATATTGAATTTTTCTTAAAAAAATTAGCTATTAACCATTTATAAATTGATCCACTTATGAGAGTAAATGTGATACTAAATATAACATATAGAGGTTTTTAGAAGAAAGATGCTGGATTATTTGACATTGGTACCATTTGTTATTTTCATATTATTTATTATTTTACTCCGTCATTAAAGTAAATTTGTGGGAATAGGGCTCTGTCCCCTTCATCCAGTCATTTTTCTTATATAACTCTTGAAATATTTGAATTATTTTATTCAATTAATTTCTTTAACTTATGTTAACACTTTTCCTCTGAAGATTTCAAGGTTATACACCAAGAACTTTCAGGCAATGGATAAACATTTGTTAAGAGCCAATATTGTTTTTTAAGCAAAAGACCATTTCTTTTTCAATAATAGAAGTAGATTTTGCCATTGAGAAATAAATTTGTATTTCTGGGCTTTGCCAACCACTATTGGCTATGGATTTACTTTTCTAAATGTACAAAATATTCTTTCTCATTATTATCTTTATTCTGCATTTTAGGCTGTTATCCAGAAGTTCCTCTATCTAGGTAGGTAGATACACGTTTCAGTGCTAAATAAAATCTTTCTTTATCTCTTTCTTGGGTATGGTTCTCTGTATTTATTGTACCATATGTTAAACCCTATGTGTGATCATTTGCTTTGAGTGATTTTTTTTAACGTTCCTCAACATCAAGTGCATTTATGGCACAATATTTAAAGGCACTATTTGAAATACGCATGGTCCTCTAGAACATAAATCGAAAGCTGGGGGATGGCAGGCCAAGGCGAAGAAGTCATCGCGTCCCATCCTCCTGCACTCCTTCTGTACTCTCCAGTCTGCCGCACCACGTTGTATTTGTGATAAGTATGCGGTGGAGTCTCGCCACACACATTTTTTAATGTACATTCAATTCTGTTCACTGAGAGACATAAAGAGTGTGGAAGATTCTACCCTTCCTCCCGCTCCAGTTGAGTGAGCTCTGAGCCCTAAGTGAACTTGAGATGGGAGAGACACGTGGTGTTTCTTGAGCTCAGTTCTTGCACAATCCTTCATCTCACCGTGCTGAGTATGATTCTAGGTATAAAGATAAGTATTTCCTTTACTATTGGGGCTGGAAATGCAAACCATTCACTTCTGCTGAAAGGGCAGCAACAGGTGGTCGATTCAGCTTTATGTGATTTCTGCCTTAGGTGCAGAGTTCAGACCCTCATCCTCAAATTAGATGCAACATCTTCCATTAGTCACGTCTCCCTCTCTAGATTATAAGCAATCTGAGAAAAAAAAGGCAGCTTTTCGTATTTTCTCTCTTAGAAGTATTTTTTGTTTTTAAATCCCTCCCAGTGGCAAATAAAATACTTATATGACACAAAAGCACTTCATAAATGATCCCTTGATTTTTGTTTCAGGGGATGACCGAAACATTGAGGAGGTTTATGTGGGCGGAAAGCAGGTGGTTCCTTTTTCAAGCTCGGTGTAAGACCCTCGGCATCTGCCAGTTCTCCTGGGATAACGTGCTTCTGCGTCTCCCTTGTGCCCAGGCGGGGTTAGAAAGTCGAAACACAGCACCTTGTTCTTGGGTGACTATCTCTTTCTGTATCTAGTTACAGCATTCACTTGACAAATCGTTTGAAGGAAGTTGCACTAATTTTCAACTTTCTGCTTGGGAGGATTCAAAATTTCTCCCTTTTGAGCTGTTCAGATTTACTTTAAGCTCAGACATAAGGGAATGTTATTCCTGGTGATGTTCTTATTATGAGATTTAAGTAAAATTGATTTCATATTTGGAAATGTGGAGAGAAAAGACATTCCTATAAAGTTGGATATTTTAAGCCAATAAATATGAGAATCAGAAAACGGAAAATGAACTAGTGAGTATATTGTAATGAGGGAGAAAAAGTTAGACTATGAGCAAACGTTGGGAGATCACTTCAGATTGTGTTTGAAAATTATGTACTGAGCATACTAATTTAAAAAGAGAACTTGTTGAATTTTAAAACGTGTTTCTAGATTGACTTTGTTTTCTGGAAATTTGCGTTTAATGGAATTTGCATTTCAGAGACTTGTTATTGTTGTGCTTTGCCTTCTTTGGGGATGAAATGTCAGAAATTGAATGCCACGTGCTTTCTTAATATAGTTCTGTGCTTCAACATGTTTGACAGAAGTTGAGTATTAAAAGTTTAAAGTCTCTTAGGAATATTATTCACATAACTACATGGCATAAATAGTTATATTCCTGTGTACTTTAAAATCACCTTAATGTATAACTGTGTGATGCTGTTTATTGCTTCAGTTTTATTAGAAGAGAAACAAATTCCATACTCCACTGTTGTGTAGACTGGAGTCTTCATAAATTGGGGCAAGTGCTGGGCATCCAGGAGTTGTCAATACCAAAAAGAAGGGTTTCATTGCAATGACCTATTCTCCCCAAGCACTATGCCATAGTTGCTGGAAATTTCATACTCAGATATCAGTCTGCTAGAGCTTTAAGATGAAGGACAAATCCTCTTAAAGAAATATTATTAAAAATCTTTAAACCCTACATATTGTAAGTACTCTATTTTTCAATTGTATCCTATTGTCTTTTTAATTCCTAATAATTTTCAGGATGCTAGAATTTTAGGATAATGAAAAATATATAGATGTCTCACTTAATATTTATATTAATAGGACCTAATCTGTACTAGACATCTAGGAACACTAAACAAAGCAGAGTATTTTTATGTTTCCTAACTCTATAGTGTGCTTTCCCATAACCTAGAATTAAAAACAAGTTATGACTTTATGATAAATCCTTAAGAAGTATGGATATGAATCTTATTTAAATACTATATTTTTCTCATTTAATACCAAATGCTATAAACCAACAAGAGAAAGGAGTAGATTTTCTTAATATATCATAACACTCATACCTAGGGCTTAGTTGTGACTCATTATTATTACCTTATCGTAGAGAACTTTATGTAATATAGCTAACTCCGTATTTACAGAACTAAGAACAAAATTCCCCCTCTTGTACTATAAATTTTGTTCTCACGTAGTCATGCCAACTCAGAAGTAATTTCCCCAGTTTTTTTTTTTTCCTGGTGGAAACACTTTTAGATTTGCTTGTGTATGCACTACACCTAAAGATAAAACACATTTGTGGTCTTATTTTTTAAAAAACAACAGAGTTTGTGCTGTGGGATATTAAGTAACTCAGTAAATCCAATTTCTAGTCTCAGTCTCTGTATTTCCAGAATTTCTAATTCCTGAACCACGTCAAAGATGCCCCCCCAGATTTCTCCCCATTTCTCTGGAATGCTGGTGGGTATTTTCTGCTCTGTCTCTCAGTCCCTGCCGGAGGAACTGGTTACCTGCTGTCTAACCCACGTGAGTGGGCTTAAGAATTTGGATGAGAAGTGCAAGATCCACTGGTAGGCAGCAGCTGTCCCAGCCTTGGTGAGCTCCTATACTTACCTTCCTTACAGGTGTACTTGTTGATCTTGAACATCAGCTGTCATTTAGATTTAGGATTCATATCCTAAATCTGTAGTAAATATACGTAAATGTAGCTTCAGAAGCAGGAAGAATGGCCACATACAACCAATCCGTCAAACATTAAATTTAGCCCTGAAAGTATAAGACCCGAATATCTTTTCTAGTGAAGAGGGAATGTGTTGAAATGTTTACATGTACTTTGACCTCCCTGCATCCCTTATAACTTATATGTTTATTTCTCTGAGTGCAGTGTTCCTGAATATTGCATCTGCTTTTTTGCTGTACTATAGGTATTAGCCATACATGTGGCCAGATGTTCTGTACTGTGAAATGTTGCCTTTGCCTAGCGTGGGTTGATTTTCTGAACTGTGGAGAGGCAGTATTCCAAGCCAATCCTATGTGTCACTTCATGTTTGAATATTTTGCTCTCTGAAGGGAAAGAAAGAATGAAAACTTCTTATCAGCCCCCTCACCCCACCCTGCACTATTTGCCTCAGGTTTCATGGTATTTTTAATGGAATACACTTTGGCAGGTAAAATTGTATTCAATAGTATTGACTATGATACTTTTAAAAAAATATTTTTGCAACTACAACACAAAAGCTTGCTAATCAGCTAAGGCGAATTGAATTTTCAAAAGAGAGTAAAACATGGGATTAGGACATGAGAGGTTGTCCTAGTAATGGTAAACTGAGACCAAGCAGACTCTGCTCCTATTTACTCTCCCAGCTTCTTCTCTGACTTAATTGTCAAAGGTTTTAGAATCCAAGAGAATATCTTGGAACAAGCTCCCTTCATGCCAGGAAGAGGTCTTTCTAAGTTACTGTGGTGAGCATTGAACCCCATCGAATCTCTTTTTTTGCTTCCGTGAGAATTCACCACGGTCCAGGAAGGAAAGCAACGGGAAGACACTCCATTATGCTTAGCTCGTTTTGAAGCGTGCCCTTCAATGTCTCTGTGGGCAGCTACAGCTGAGATCTCAGAGAGGAGATGTAATGGGTGTGAGATCCAACAGTGTATTTTGAATCTTCACTCCTTTCCAGATTCTTGCTATTTTTAATCTTTCACCTCAGAACCAGACATATGGAAAGCTTTGAAGGCAAGCTGGAAGGCACGTTGTGTCAATTCTACCTTGTGCTATACGTGGAATATATCCAGAATTGGATGCCTCTATAGCCTACTGGACATCTTTTCATTTTGTCCATTTTCTGATGATGCTGGAAACATTCATATGTTTAAAAAGAGTGTTCTGAGTTATTAAAAAGTGGACTAAGAAATGTGCGATGTCTTGAAATAATTTTCAAATTGTGTGGATTGTTGTGCATTTTGTGTGTGTGTGTGTGTGAGGAAGATCAGCCCTGAGCTAACATCCGATGCCAATCCTCTTCTTTTTTTGCTGAGGAAGACTGGCCCCAGGCCAACACCTGTGCCCATCTTCCTGCACTTCATGTGGGACGCCGCCACCGCATGGCCTGACAAGCGGTGCGTCGGTGCGCGCCCGGGACCCCAACCCGGCTGCCAGCAGCGGAGCACACGCACTTCACTGCTACGCCACGGGGCTGGCCCCTGTTGTGAATTTTTAAGGCTTTTTTTTTTTGAAGGCTTAAAGGAGACATTTGCAATTTCACATCTACCTAGCCAACTTTAGGTATGACTTTGAACCCTGACACTTTTTAGTGTCTCTCAAGGAGAATCGTGGAAAATAAGTCCACAAATGAACAGACACTATTAGAAAACCCCAGTGTTAGGGTCCATGCGTGTTTTCACACCCGGCCTTTCCTCCCTTTCCCTCCCACAACCCTGAGTGTGAGAGATCAAGAATCGGGTTAGTTTGCAAATCTGGTCCAAATTTAGTGAAATGCAAAAGTTGAACAGGCCAACGATGAAACTAAATATAAATTCCGAGGCCTTCACGGTCCACAGGGTTCAAGTGACTTGAGTAATAGATATATGTGCCAATGATTTGCCTGTCCATTTCTTACTCAAAAGCCTGTCAGAAAGCATTTTTTTATCCAAAACCACCTTACTTTGTTGTTAAACTCCTGATCACTGCTCTTAGTATATATATGTATGTATTCATGGGACATTTTTTCTCAATATTTGTATGATTTGCTTACTGTTCCTGTGCTGAGTGAGCTCCTTTGTGCTTCAGACAAAAATAAAAGAGATGTTGTGTTTACATTATTGTTTTGTTGTGAGTTCTCTCAATCTGATAGAAGGGGGATTAATCTTACAATGTTTTTCTCCTTTTAACATGAATTTTAAAAAACAGAATAGGATATTTAGCTGTGAGCCAACATGTATCTTCCATCCTATGATAGTCACTATGCATATCTTTTAAAAATTAAGCTATAATGTTCAGCATTTTAGAATCAGATTGCTATTGGTTTTGATTTCAGCATGGTTAATATTTCATATTTTTTAAGTCACAACCCAGAGTGAGAAACGTACTTTGACATCAAGAATTAGTTCACACTGTAGGGAAGCAAAATTTGCCGCCTCAAAATGTGACTCTTTGGCTTGAGGTTTATTTTAGGCTGGTGTGTGTGTGTATGTGTGTGCACGCTGAGGAAGATTCACCCTGAGCTAACATCTGTGCCCATCTTTCTCTGTTTTGTACATGGGCCGCCCCCATGGCATGGCTGCTGGCAAGTGGTGTAGGTCAGCACCCGGGAACCGAACCCGGGCCACCAAAGCGGAGTGCACCGAACTTAACCACTAGGCCACGGGGCCAGCCCCCAGGCTGATTATTTTTTTTAAAACAAAAGACTCAGGTGGGAACTTTGACCTCTCCCCTTGACTGCCTAAAAAGAATTTAGATAGAGGATCTGTTCCAGGAAGGAGCTATCACCAAAGATAACTATAGTATAATATGAACTAGGTATGGCAGACAGGGAGAAACCTAGCAAGGCCCATTTGATCAAAGTCCTCTCTCTGTCTCACTGTCTCTAGATGGCCCAACAAACACTTGTTTACCAAACATTAAGTCTTTTCATCTTCCTGTAAATTGCCTCCTTTCCCTTTGAAGTCCCAGACCCCTGCTCTCTTTTCCTTAGTCCAGAATGTCATATATACCTCATTTTGCCTATCTGTAGAATTTTTCATGCTTATGTGAATGCCCTATGCACATGTATTAAATTTGATTTTCTCCTGTTAACTTGCCTTATGTTATTTTAATTGTTTGGCCACTGTAAGAACTAAGAGGGGATGGTGGGAGTTTTATACCTCCCCCATAACATATATATATGTGCATGTATGTATAAAACAAAAGTCTCACATAATAATACTTTCCCTATCTGTGATGCCCTGGGCTATTTTCTTCTGTTCTATTCTATTCTGTTATGTTCTATTCTATTTTACTCTGTTTAATTTTTTTATGCTGATAGTGATTTCCAAAATTGGTTTCTTGATGACCCCCTCTAATGGGTCATCACCTGCAGTGTGGAAGCAGTTTCCAGTGTCTTGTGAGCTGTGTACTTTTAAGTCTCCATGACTCCATTCTGTGATTTGGGCATGACATGAGTGCCTGCCTTAGAGTCATGAGGATTAAATAAAATAGTATATAGCTAGCAATTAAGATAACATCTGGGACATAGTGAGTACTCACTATATTGTAGTTATTATTTTAAAAAGAATACAGACTGAATAGGAATAAAACTTGTTTTATTGAAGTATAGTTGACGTACAATATTGTATTAGTTTCAGGTGTACAACATAGTGATTCAACATTTATATACATTACAAAGTGATAAGTCTGGTAACCATCTGTCATCATACAAAATTATTACAATATTGTTGACTGTATTGCCTATGCTGTACATTACATCCCCATGACATTTATTGTATGACTAGAAGTTTGTACCTCCTATCCTCTTTCACCTATTTTGCCCTTCCTTCCCAGCCCCCTGAAATAAAAATAATTTAAGATGTATTTTTATCAACTTGTTTTTTGGAATCTAAATCAAGTGATGTTAAGGATCTCTCTATACATAAAAATATTCTGTAAAGATTAAATCTGATTTTTTTCAGCACTACTATGTTCGTTATTTTTTATTTATAACATGAAGCATAAAAGAGTAGTAGATTTGATCTGTAAGTTTGATATCAGCTCAATACAAGGTTGATGTAAGGGAAGCTATAGTGTAGAAAAGAAACCATGTTGTAACTTTGAATGACCTCTGATTAACTGACATGCTCTGTGGATTTTATGGCCCCTCCCAGCTGCAATAAGTCAATAACTTTGTTCTTTTCAGTTCCTTTTTGAGAGCTTTTGGGAAGCTATGGAGTTTAGGTTGCTTGTGGCGGTTGTTGTTTTAGGCTCAATGATAGATTTTTTGATGTCCAGGACAATTGTGCAATCTCTTCTGGGTGGATTATTTACTGTAACCTGTAGGAATGTGATGACCCCCAGGCAGAGAGACTATGCTGATAGCCATCATCAATGACAACCGAAAGATCAGAGTATAGGGCATTGCTCTGGTCTCTGATGCATATCCAGTAAAACAAAAGACTATCAGGAACTAAGACCAGATGTCTGCCTCCACTCAGAGATCAGATGGATGCCCCCACCCTGAGACCAGATGCCTCCACTCAGAGATCAGATGGTTGTCCCCACCCTGAGACCAGATGCCTTCCCCACCTGGAGACCAGCCTTCTATATAACTGGCCTGTAGTCTTTGTTCTGTAAGATGGTTCTTTTTGGCATGAATCAGCCATCTACCCTCTTGCTAGCAAGCTGTAATAAAAAGTCCTTTCTCTCCTACCTCCTTGCCTCTTGACTATTGGCATGTCTTGCGGCAAGCAGACAAATCCCCATTTGGGTGGTAACAAATTCAACCTTAATGTTCTGAGCAACTTACTAAGCACTTTTTCTGGTGCTTAGGGAACCTAAAGAACAACTTAGTCAAAATCCCAGAAGAGAATTTTCGTGTGCATAATCTAGCAATAATGAGTGCCTAATTTGTACATTGTGGGCACAGAGTTCTGTAATAGGTAATTAATAGATACGTGCAAATTATTGCATGGTACTAAATTCAGGACTTAAATAAAGTAAGGTTTAGACATAGAATAAATACTTGCCAGTAGCAAAACAGGCCTTGTGGTCGGGTGTTTTAAGACTCCATGAAGAGGCCACTCAGTTAAAGGAACAGGACCCACAACAGTTGTCACCAACAGGAGCAGGATTTTTTTGTTTTAATTTTGTTATAAAATGGGATAAGAGAAATCTTCTGTTATTTAAAGGGATACAACATTATTTTAAAGTGTAATTAATTTTTTTCACTAATTCAGACTCATCCTCTTTTACCCTCAAGCCAGCCTACTCCATCATTGTAAAATTACATTAGATTTGTCACACTGCTTGAGTTTTTCCTGCTTCTATATTAGGTGAGTCTATATTTTGAGGTGGAAAGAGAGATAGGTCACTAAAAAAGCATTGTCTATGGCAAAAACTTTCTTGGGAAATTTTTCAGTGGTAACTTAGAAAAAAATAAAACATTTTTGCACCAACATAAAGAGTGATCAAGAAAATACGAACAGATTCACTGAGTGTTTCAGGCCACTTGGGCCCTCCTCAATTGCCAGTAGGACTTAGGCAAATATTCATTCTCCTGTCTGTAGAAGGAGAGCTCAAAGTCAGAGCACTAAAATCTAATGTAAGAGGAATGAAGGCCTAGAAAGATGGTCATTTAGTCAGATGACAAGAGGGTCTCATACACTCACTTGAGAACTGAAACTTGCAGCTTCACTGTGAAATTAATTTCTGTCCTTTTAATCTTGGACAGTCTCCAAATCAGACTTTGGTTTTACTGCTGTAAGTAAAGCCACAGCCCATAAATGAATAACCCAAGGAAAGTTTCACTCTTGTTTTTTTTTTTTTTGTGAGGAAGATCCGCCCTGAGCTAACATCTGCCAATCCTCCTCTTTTTGCTGAGGAAGACTGGCCCTGTGCTAACATCCATGCCCATCTTCCTCCACTTTATATGGGATGCTGCCACAACATGGCCTGACAAGCAGTGCGTCACTGCACGCCTGGGATCTGAACCAGTGAATCCAGGGCCACCATGGGGGATCGTGCGCACTTAACGGCTTGCACCACCGGGCCAGCCCCCCAACTCTTGTTTTTTTAATTTGTAAACTTGCTTCCTTGGGCGCTTGAGAGACTTTAAACAGCTTTGGTGTTTTGTTTTTCTTTTTCTTTCTGCAAAAGTTGATTCCATCCACACCTGAGCTTGGGAACAAATGCAGGGATGGCATTGTGCTTGAAAAGCATTTTGAA